GTTGCAAGGCCAGACATGGATTAGTGACCTAGCAGGACAGGGCTTTCTCTTTGAATGAGATCCTCACCATACTTCCCAGGTTCTCTATGGAAGATGACAGAAGAGGCAGTCTCTGTGGGCCTTGAGTTGCCTGTGCCCAATGGTTGGCAATTCCCAACAGAGGGGGGCAGCAGAGGGCTGATCTAGGCCCCCAGGTACCTGAGACCTCATTGCAAGGCTTGAGGGCTGGATGGGCTGGTGCCTGGCCCAGGCTAGGAAGAGGTCACCTTGGCTTGACCTCATCTCTCTACTCAACTAACCAGTCTCTCTTTGCAGTTTATAGTCAGTCACTTCCTGTTGGAGCCATACTGCTGATTGGCAGGGAAGGTAATCGAGCAGCTCAGCAAGGGAAAGGAACCCCTGGAGGTCACACAACCAGACTTAGACTTGACCCGATTCCCAGTCCTGGCTCTGCCAGAGGCCCTTGTCTGCTCTTTAAGCCAGAGTTATCCTGTGTAAGGGTGGGAACAGGGTCGAGAGCCCTCCCCTCCCTGTCCTCCTCTGGCTTCGGAGATACCTGCTGCAGGCTGGCAAGGAAGTGGAGGTGGCGGGTCTCACTGCAGCAGGGGTGGTGGGGAGGAAGGCGAGGTAATGAATGTGGACGGGAGGCAGAATGAGCGATCCATCTTTGCATGGGAGGGGAGGGGGCTGCGGGCATCCCCCTCACACACTCACACACTCAATCAGGCGCTGTCAGACCTCCGGCCGCCTGGCATTTTGGTGAAGAATCTCTCAGCTAAAAATTGTTGTCAGTCCCATTTCCTCGTTATCAGTGCAAGGGCTGAGGCAGCGCCCGGGGATTAGCAGGAGCGGAGAGCGCCCCGCGCTTGCCATCCACTGCCGATAACACTGGGCCTCCCGCCTCACCTCCCCCATTCATCATCTTTAGCACTGACAGCCCAGCCCAGTCCCTGTCCCCATCCCCTCCTGCTTCCGCTGCTCCCCACTGTGCTGCTCAGCCTGGCTCCTGACCTCCCCCTCCCCAGGGAGCTAGTCCTCCTGGAGAGGGACAGGATTCGACCTGGGCCTATATGACCTAGACCCACCTGTGGCAAAAGGCCTTGCCTAGCTGTTGGGGAGCTCATCCAGGAAGGGAATGGGGACTGCTCAAGGAGATGATGCTTTCTGACAGCCTGCCTCACCAGGCTCCTGTGCCTACCTGTGACACTGCCAGTTGTATTGGAGAAGGGATTCCTGCATCAGATGGGCAGCTAGACCAAAGATTTCTGGGGGCCTCACCAGCCTGAGATGTTCCCAAATTCTGGGAATTGTGGAAAGGAAGAGCCAAGGGATGCCTCCCCTGGACCTGGGAAGAGTAGGGGTTGAGGGCTCAATTCCCACCCCAGCAAGACCACACCCCCTCCTCTTGGCCATCCCCAGCGGTTTTATGGCCCATTTTATGGCCACTGTAATGGCCCAGGTCAAAAGCTTCAGGGAGCTGTATTCTGGGAATTATGCAAAGGAGGAGCAGGCCCAGGGCCAGAGTATGGATTTTATCATTAAACCTGGGCAGGCCATGTCGTTAGTGCAGTAAAATCCACGTCATGACCACAGGTCTCAATATAAAATTATAGGGAACACAGCAGGGGAGGGAAAGCAGGGGGCCCAGAGCCATGCTGTCACCTGCCACTCTAACCCCTGAGAAAATGGGGGTAGGACAGAGGCCATAGGTTATTGGATCTCTCTGCTGATCCCTGTCAATGCTATTCTAGAATGTGGGAGCCAAGAAGAGGGCCCATTGTCCTGATAGAGAAACTGAGTACATGCTCAGAAAAGCAGAATATTCCCATGGCAGCAAAGCAGACGAAATGAAAACAAATACATAGGAATGCTGATGCCCAGCCCCTAAGCTTGATGAAAGGAATCTGGGCTCTAGAGAGCCTTAAAGAGCAGACTTAGTGTTCCAGATCAAAACCCCTGCCATTTCCACCTCAGCTCAGACCCCATGTCCTAGATCCTCCTTGCTCCATGCTCCTCATCTCCCCCTGTTCCAGTGATCTGTCCCAACAACCTGTCAACTCTCCCTTGCTCATCCTGCTTTCCCCTTGAATCCTGCCAACCCTCTGCTGGCCCCTCCTGCCCTCCCACAGTACCCTCCTTGCTCATGCCTCCTTACAGCTCTGACCTACACTGACTGGAGTCTCTGGCTCTCTTTTTGAGCTTTCCCACTAATTTGTGACTTCCTAGAGGCCAGGGATGTGTTTTTACTTATCTCTGAGATCTGGTTTCCCCTAGAATTATACCTGATATTTGATTGTTTTGTAAATGTTTGCTGAAGGAACAAGTAAATGAAGCCATCAGATCAAGAACCAAGTTCAGGCCAGGTGTGGTGGCACACGCCTGTAATCCCAATGCTCAGGAGCCAGAGGCAGGAGGATTACTGTGAGTTCGAGGCTAGCCTGGGCTACATAGGGAATTCAGGGGCAGCCTGAACTACAAAGCAAGACCCTGTCTCAAAAAAGCAACCCTCCCCCCAAAAAAAGAACCAAATTCAGGGGTTCCTGCCTAGCTCTGAGCCTCAGTTTCTCCATCTGTAGAATAAAGGTAATGGCCCGGAGAAGTCCTAGGATATCATTCACCTCTGAGATGAAATAAGGGGCAGAGCTAAAACTAGAATCCTCATCTTCTACCTCCTAGGGGCCACATCTGCTTCTTTTAGTTAAAGCTGCCTTCCAGCTCTCCCCTGAACATCTGAGGCACAGCCACCAAGGCACACGTCAAAAGGACTTCCTCCCCTCTTCCAAGACCTCCACATAGGCTGGAGCCACACCTACCCCTCCCTGGTATACACAAAGCCTCGGAAGCTGATATCCCAGCTCTGTGAAGGTTTACAGTGCTTTGAGGACAATCTGCTGCTCTTTGTTCACCTTTCTTCCTTCTCTTCCTCTTTTTTTCTCTTTTGCTTTATTATTGAACATCTAGTCTATGCCAGGCCTGCAATAAATTGTCTATATACAGATGAATAAGAAATGGTTCCTGCCCACAAGGAACTCATAGCATATTCATTAATTCATTCACTTGCTCCCATTCCCTGCTTAGTATACTTCTAAGGTGCAACTTAAATTTCACTCTTTTGACTAAGCCTTCTCTTTTTACCATAACTCACCCCCCAATTAAAAAAGGGAAAAAAAGAATGAATTGCTCCTTCGAGCCCTCAGATAACTCCATCCAAGCTTGTAGAGGAGCGGTAATCCTGTTTAGTCTGTGTCAAAAGGAAGTGAGTTCTTGTGCTCAGCCTAAACTGGGAGCTTCCTCAAGTATAGGGCTGCCAAGTTTCGGATATTTAAATATAAGATATACAGAGAGATTTGATTTTTGGAAAAACAAGGAATACAATTTTTTGGTACCAGGGATTGAACTCAGGACCTTGCACTTGTGAGACAAGAGGCAGAACCACTGAGCTAAATCCTCAGCCCCAGAATAATTTTTATACAAATATGCCCTGTGCAATATTTAGGACATACTTATACTAAAACATGATTCCTTGCTTATCTGAAACCAAATTTCATCAGGCACCCTGTGTTTAATCTGGCATCCCTACTCAAGTAACCATCTTGGCTATCACTGCATGGGCTTTATCTCTGTGAAAGCTGACTTTGACCCTCTCCAGGCGCGCAGGAGAAGAAAAAGCAAGGAGAAGGATCTAGTCTCAAGCCCAGACTTTCTACAGTCAGAGTATCCATGAATAGCTAAGGATGTTTCTAAATAAATAGGGCTCCTCAACCCCATGCTGTAAACAGTCTAGCAGAGCACTGCACGAGAGAAGGGAAGAGGTTTAGGCATCCAACAGGGATAAACTAGGCAACCAGCTCACTTCTTCCTAGCATGGTTTGTTCTGTTATCATCAATGACAGTAGAAATAGAGTTCAGGCACCTATCTGACCCTCAGTGTACACATGTATTGGAAGAGTGGAGTGGAAGGAGAGAACTTAGGATCAATGAGACTCACAAGGAGCCAGTGAGATTATCCAAGGGAGACTTGAATAGGAAGAACATAGATTTGAGGAATGTTGAAGAAGCAGAATGGACAGGGTTTGGTAGTTAAATGAATGAGAAGTTCAGGGGAGCAAGGCAAGGTAAGGGGCATACAGTGAGCCTGAAGTTACTGGTTTAGGTGACTGAGTGAAAGAAGGTATTAACAGAGATGCTCACTGCTGAAAGAGGAGCAGGTATGGAAGGGGTGAAAAAGTTGAAGAACTCGATTTTGAATTGTTGGGTTTCAGATTCTTACAGGATATTCAGGCATTGATGTTCGTTAGACATTTGGATATACAAATCTGGAGGGATCCAGAGTGGAAATACAGAGTCTGCGGTCAATAAGACATGGGTGGGAGTGATGGCCATAGAATGAATGAGATCATCCACCACACAGAATGAGAACAGAGGCTGAGGGAGGCCTTGGGGAGAGTGGAGAAAAGGAAAGATTGCTACCCTGGAGGTCACCTAGTCCGTGTTGGTCCTTCCCACTCAACTGCAAGGGCCTCAAGGACAGGAACTAGACCTGATTCCATGTTAGGACCCCACTGCTCTGCACTGTACGTGGTTCAGAGTAAGCATGAGAGAACGTTTATTGAATGACTCCTGGACTAAATCCCCTTTCTCTCTCTCTCTCTTGTCTTCCTTCTCCAGATCTGAAGAGTGTAAAAGCAGGAAAGGAATGAGAGGGGTGGGGAGGCACTCAGTATTCTGGGTGATTCTGTGATTAAAAACGTGTGAAATGGAGTGGTCAAGGTTTGAGTGCATAGAGCACTGATTGTCTCCCAGTAGATTTTCAAGAGGGGCAGCTGGCTGAGGAAGCACCATTTATGGCCACAGCCTCTGGAGCTGTGAAACAAAGTGATGCTCTTAGGCTCTCAGGCTTACCAGCTCACCTCTCCTATAAGTCAAGAACCCAAGGGGGCAGTAGCAGGCTTGAGGTGGAGACCAGCCCTGCTAACGTGTATCTGTTCTTCCCTTGCCAGGTAAGAAGAAAGCAGCAGCGTTGTTTGACAACCAGGCCCCAATCTGCCCCATCTGCCAAGTCCTGCTGAGGCCTAGCGACTTGCAGGAGCACATGGAACAGGAACTGGAGCAGCTGGCCCAGCTGCCCACCAGGTAAGCCACCTACCCAGAGCCTGCCTGCTGGAGATGCCACTGAGGCTCCTAGCCATGAGGTCTCAGAATTATACCAGCCTCTAGGGAGAAGCCAGGATCCTCCTGTCATTCCCAGCCACTTTCAACCCTCAGATCCTCCAGCTAAATGGTGCTACCTTTCTCTTCCTGATGTATTTTGTAAGATGAGAGTGACTCCTCAGGCCCCAACTGCAAAAGAGCACAATGGGAATTAGCCAGGGGATGTCTGCTATAGGCCCAGCACTGCATGTGGGGCCCCAGAGTAGGATGAAAGAAGCATGTGTGGGCCTGGCAGCCCCATCAGAAGGTCAGCCTGGTCCTGCCAGCCAGGAGAGGAGCAGTACCTTATGAATTTCAGGGGCTGAAAAGTGACAATCTTGACCCACCTCAACTTATCCCCAGTCCTCCCTTCCCTGTCCCCACCTAAAGGACTGTGCTAAGCCTCCTCAAGGACCTTAGAAAGCAGCCAGGTAACCAAGGGAAGCAAAGGAGAGGTGTGACAAATCTTAGTAGCGTAAAGCAACACTACTCCATTATGCTCACGCAGTCTGGGATCAGATACTCAGGACACAGAGATCATGGCTGTATCTGCTCCAGATGTCTGGGGACTCAGCTGGGAAGACACAGAAGCTGGGAGCTGGAAGCATCCAGAGACTTCCTTCACTCACAAATCTGATGCTTGATGCTGGCTGTCAGCTGGGACCTCTGATGGAGCTTGGGCCAAAGTATCTGCAAAAACTTTTCCATGTGGCTTGGGCTTCTCATAGCTTAGTAGCCTTGGGGTAGTTGGACTTCATACATGGCAGTTTAGGGCTCCAAAAACAAATGTTCCGACCAACAAGATGGGAGCTGGATGACTTTTGTAACCTAACCTTAGAAGTCATTTAATATCATTTCCACTGTACTCTACTGACCAAGGCAGTATTAGTCCACCCACATTCAAAGTGAGCAGGAAAACCCACCGCTTTTGTTGGGAGGAGTGGTAAGGTCTTACAGTAGAAGATCGCATGGAAAAAAAAAAATCATATGGGACAGAATAGATGGCTGCAGCCACCTTTGGGAACTACAGTCTGCCACAATGAACTGCCTCCCCCCCACTCCAGTCCTACCCTTCATTCAGTTCCAGTCATCAGACCTGAATGACCCTTTCCCTTCTACCCTCTCAACTAATCACCTGCCAGAGTACATGGATCTGAAATGACCCCATCCAGGAAGTTCACAGGACAAGAGTACAGAAAGTCAGGAATAAAAACCCCAAGAAATAGAAGATGCTCCATGGGAAGAGCTGGAGCTCTGAAGGTGTCTAGGAGGCCCCAAACCCAGCACGGGGCAGAGAAGGCTTCCTGATGGACAAATGTTGAAGGAAAAAGTACTAGTATTGCAGTGTTACAAATTACCCCAAAACCTAGTGGCTTTAAACAACAAACACTTATTATCTGAGTTTCTGTGGGTCACGAGTTCCCAACCAGTCTAGGTGGGTAGTTGTGGCTACTGGCTCAGTCTCCCATGAGGCTGCAACCAAGATATCTGTGAAGACTGAAGTCATCTGCAGGTCTCCCTAGAACTGTGGCATGTTTCCAAGATGGCTCACTTCAAATGGCTGTTGGCAGGAGGCCTCAGTTCCTCTCTATGTGGATCCCTCCAGGCACTGCTTGAGTTTCCCTCTGACATGGCAGATGACCTCATACAAGCATGTGATCTGAGAAAGACTAAGGAGGAAGCCACAATGCCTTTTCCTAGTGTAGGAAGTCACACACTATTGCTTCACCTATACCCTATTCTATTCATTAGAAACAGGTCAAGTCCAGCCTAACTCAGGGGAGGAGAATCAAGCTCTATAAGCTCTGCCTCTCGAACGAGAGCAGTAGCAAAAGAATTGTGAGCATACCTTAAAACCACCATGAAAAACTATATTAAAGGTAGCTAATAAGCCTTATTAAACACTATGTGCCAAGTATTTTACATTACATTAATTTATTTAATCATCATTATACCCCTCTGAGGCAGGCAGTACAGTTACATGTTCATTCTGAGAAATTCATCCTTAGATGATTTTGTCAAATGAACATCATACAATGTGCTAACACAAATAAAATGGCAGCTAAACATGGAGACACACACCTGTAATCCCAGCACTCAGGAGGCCGAGGCAGGAGAATCTGGAGTTTGAGGACAGCCTGGGCTACATAATGAGTTCACATACAGCCTAGACTACACAATGAGACCATGTCTCAAAACAGACAAAAAACCATAAGATGGCTACAAGGTCACTAGGCAATATAATCATAAGGAACCATTATCATATATGTGGTCCACTCTTGCCCAAAACATTGTTATGTGGTACATGACTGTAATGACTACTCCCATTTCATAGATGATGAAACAGGCATAAAAGGGTTAAGTAACACTGTAACACCACACGGTAGTAAGCGTTAACAATAAGATTCAAACTCAGGCAGTTTGACTCCAGTGCTCATTCTCTTAATCCCTCAACATACACACCCGGAACTGACCAGCCCTAGTCAGAGTGAAAGACACACCCCAGTTGAGTGCCACATTGTGCTTTCCAGGAGTCCTGTATAACTTGCTCCCAACAGGGGACTTCACAATGGGAACGGAAAACAGAGGCAGAGGTGGGGAGGCCCTCCGTCTTATACAGGCTGTGTGCCCCTGACGGTCTTGAGGACCAGATTTCTCTGCCTCCCCCGTAGGGTTCCTCGTTTGTCCTGCCCAGGGCATCCTCGGTCCAGCCGGACCCACGACCTGCACAATCCTTCATCCCTCTCAGAGCATCGGCTCCCCCCACGTCCTTACCCCAAGTCCCTTTCCCCACCCAAAATCCCCACCTAGCTCCCTGCCCTCACTGCTGTGGCTGTGTCTCGTGTCCCCCACATCTGTCCTGTCACGTCCGGCCCGGCCCAGCGCCCCCCACACCGCTTCTGCACGTGCACACCCTGCGCCCCAGGCACGCCCCCCCCCTCCACCCAGCACCGGGTGTCTGACAGCCGGACAGCGGGATCTGCACAGCAAGTGAAATTCCCGTCGGATCGATAAAGCCGAAGCGCTGGCGGCGACGGGTCGATGGTTTTATCTGTCTCGGCCCCGCCGCGCCCGGCGCACTGACAGCCGGACTGGCCGGCAAAGGCGTTCAAGGGCAGCCGCGCCCGCGCCCCCTCCCGGGCCGGTGCGCCCACCAACTGCAGGCCGGAGTGGCCTGCCGCCCTGTGATTTATCTGGATTTTTAATTGGAAAAAATTTGCGAATTAATTGATTTCAGGAACTTGCCAATTAACATTGTAATTGGGTGCGTGATAAATTCCCAAGGAGTGTGTCAGCTCCCTCCGGGCTGGCTGCCGCCTGCAGGAGGGGAAGGCAGGGCCTCAGCCTCGGTGCCCTTGCCCCGCCCTGCTGGCTTTCGGGGCAATGGGAGGTGGGCAGAGGAGGCTAGGGAAAGAGGAGGCTCTGGGGTTTCCTAAATACGCCCCTCTTTTCTCCTTCCCGCCATCAGTATCCTGAAAATAACGGGGCTTTGGACTGGCCACGTGGGACGGGGAGACTGAGTCCCACAGAAGGGCAGAAGCCAAATGTGGGCATCCACCATCAGTGGCCTCCTCCCTAGCTCTCCAGTCTTCCCCTTCCGGGTCTGCCTCATAGGCTCTTCCTCTCTCGGCTCCTCTCCCTTCTTGCCCCCGCTGGCTCCTCCCCCTCCTCTCTTACCCTCTGCCTTCTTTGCCCTCCCCCCTTCCTCAGCCAGGCCATTCCCGAGCCTGTGATGCTGTCAGCAGGGTGCCCTCCCGTCAGTCTGCTTCGAGGTTCTGCTTGAGGAGCTTTCAGGATGGGCCTGTTCTGCCTTCTGTCTCTTTCAATCCAACAGCACAGAGCAGGGCCTCTGGGAACAACCTGCTATTTGGGACGAACCTAAGGGCTCACAGAGAAGCAGGGGCCTTCCAGTCCCAAGCTAGGGAGCTGGTTTTTCACAGACAGGTGTGCACGGCCCCCTTCCCCCACACACAGATCCACTTACACACACACACACACACACACACACACACACACACACCCTGAAAACTGCCTTCCCACCATGCACATTCCCACAGGTACATGGTCACCCAGACCCTTACAGGAAGAGCAATGGGAGCTCCCATTAGCACAGCACTTGCAGTTTTCAAAGCTTTCACATTTGAGGTCAGAGACTATACCCACAAAGCCCACCTTGTCTTTCTCCTTCTCAGTCCTGCCCACCAGGGCTCCCTTAGATGCCAGGATCTGGCCAGTGAGAACAGAGGGCAAAGTTAGGTCAAGGACAGATTGTGGAGGGCCTTGCATGCTGGAGGGGATTCTAGACTGGAGGGGTAATGAGAATCATCTTGAGTCAGGATGAAGTCCCAGCAGAGCAAGATGAGCTATAGGAGAATGGCTTGGAGTTCAGACTAGGGGCAGAGACAGGGCAGGGTCCTGGGACAAGGGCAGTGGCAGTAGGGATGCAGAAGAGGGAATGATAAGAGATCTGAGGAAGAAGAAATCAGAGGCCTTAGCTGGAGAACTTCCTAAAAGGACACTTTCTGACTCGGATGACTGGGAGGGTGGAGGGGGCAGAGAGGCAAATGCTGAAGGCAAGAAGGGGCTGCAGGCAAGCCTCTGGGCAAGCTGAGCCTGAGATGTCTCTAGGACGGTGATGGGGTAGGGACTGGATGTGTACAGTAGTAGGGTCATAGATAAGGGCAGAACATGGAAGGGCAAGTGGCAGGGGATGGCTCCAGACCTCTCTGTGGCCCTCAGGCTGGAGTTTCCATCCAGAAAGAAGAAAGAGCCTTGGACATAGAGAATTTGTACAGAGCTGAAAGTGGGGCCTAGTTTGATGGGGCCTGAGCTCAGAGATCTCCTCTGGGAGGCTTCCGGAGCCACTGAGAGAGCTGACTTCTGGGCTGGGAAGCCAGTTCTCTGGGCAGCGCTTTAAAAGGACTGAAAGAAGCCAAGGGGAGGCTGGGTGACTCTAGAGGAGAGGCAGGGTATGGAGATGCCAGTGCCCCCACCCCCACTTAAGCCTTATTTAAGGCCGGCCTCGGTGTTTGGTTGGGTAATGAACTAGATAAACAATTCCCCAAATAGATTAAAACGAAGTGTAACTTACAAAGGCGGCTGGTGATGATGGTTTATTCCCCGGCAGTGCACCATTTCTTTATTTCCAAGGATAATTCAGTGTAAATCACCTTAATTAAAAGTGTCAGCCCAGCCCATGAATATTGTACTTAGGAATGCGTTTCCTGGGTCTCAGTTATAATTTAAAACCCATGGATCACTAGGCAGCGAGTGACTGAGCAAGGGAGGAAATCGTTGAGGGCGGGCTATGGAAACAGGGAGGGACAGAAGGCAGAGCTGATGGGCTGGGCGGGAGCCAGGCTGCCGACAGCTCCTGGGCTCAGACCTCCCTGCTCCAAGGCAAGGCTCTCACCAAGCTCTTCAATCTCTGGAGGACCAAGCCAACTATAGAGATGATGAGGTTGGTAGAGGAAATGTAGGCTGGGACCCTCCCTCAGAGCAAGGGAATGAGTCTGAGGTTGTACTCTTTTCATGCAAAGGAAGGAAAGACTATTACTAGAAAAAGATCTAGATGATGGACTTTGCCAGGTGAGAGGGTGGACCTCCTGACCTCGAAGGGCCTCATTCTATTCAGCAGCATAGTAGAGTAAAGCCCAGGGTCAGTAAGACCCTCCCCAAAGTCACAGCAAAGGAAATGAAGAAAGAGAACACAGTTCTGCCCTGGAGCCTAAGTCCTGTGTATCTTTAGGGAGGCAGAGTGGGCAATTAAAAATCAGCACCATGAGCTAGGTGTGTGTGGTGTTGTGTACTCATAGTCCCAACTACTTGGAAAGCTGATGCAGGAGGATCACTCAAGTCTGGGAGTTCAAGATCAGTCTGGGCAGTATAGTGAGACCTTCTGAATATATATCCAACACTTTGGACCTGTTTGGATCCAAACTTATATCCCAAACCCTCCATGAACTGTGGGAACACAAAGATGTCACTTAACCTGTTAGTCAACTTTGTAAAATTTTTGTGATGACTCAGTGAGATAACACATACAAACCCTGTGTCTGTCATATATAGTGGGTACAACAATGATCACTCATTCCTTTTTTTTTTCCTGTTCTCTCCTGATCCAACTAGATAATACACCCCAGTCTAGAGTAAGGCCTGGTGAGAACAGTATATACAATAGGAGCCTTGTTTGTTTTTCACTTTTCTTTTTTTTTTGGTACCGGGAATCAAACCCAGGGCCTTGCGCTTGCCGGGCAGGCACTGCACCACTGAGCTAAATCCCGGGCCCTAGCCTTGTTTGTTTTTGTTTTTGTTTTTTTCTGGATCACACTTTATTGAGCACTACAAGGAGCTGGCTCTGCATAGGAGCAGCAGTGAGGAGAACAGCTCTCCCCCAATTTTGTAGGCAGAATGGTGAAGGAATGATAGCAGTCATGAATTCACCAACCAGTGGCACCTCCAGAGCAGCTCAGTTTCCCCTTTGTATCCTCAGTGCCTCCAACAGGGCAAGGAAGGGACCATTTATGAACAAAATGTAATCAAACAGAACCTTTTCTGGCTGTCCTTCCTAGTCTGTGGTGTCCCTATTGTGTGATCAGACTGGTAGCTCTATTTTCACCCTGAGACCTTGACCTCACCCTGCTGCTAAATCTAGTAGGCTCTGCACTGTGATATATGTGTGTTCGGGTGAATGTGTGCCAATTCGTGACTCCATCTGTGGGTGCATGTGTATCTGGGTGTGTGTTGGTGCCTATATTTATGCAGGTGTTTTGTGGACTTGTGTATATAAGCAGCTCTTCATCCAGTATGTATGGCTGTTATGAATTTGTCTTTATGGCCATGTCTCTGGGAATATGACCCTGTGGCTCTGTGCATCTGTATGCATGTCTGAGTCTCTGGGTGTGACTGCTTGTATGCGTGCCTGTTGGCAAAATTATAGTCTGTGTATATGTGTCTGCCTTTAGACCAGGGCTTCCCAGCCTCAGCGCTATTGATATTTTGGGGTCAGATGATTCCGTGTTGAGAGAGATGGGCTGTCTAACACTCTAGGATGTTTAAATATCCTCTACCCACTAGATGCCAGTAGCAACCCCTTCTCCTGCCCAACTTTCAACAATTGAAAATATCTTTAGGGGGTAGGGGTATAGCTCAGTGGTGGAGTGTTTGCCTAGCACATGTGAGTCCTGGGTTTGATCCCCAGCCACTACAAAATATAGATATCTAGATATTGCCAAATTTCCCTGAGCAGGTAACACATCCCCACCCCGCACCCCACACCAACATGAGGCCAAATCTTCCTATGGTTTTGCACATTGGGTGTGCCTATGTCTGGCCCAATGGGTGCCTGAGCACATCTGCAAGTGTTCCCTGAGGATACACCTTGTAAGTCTGTATGTGCCCCATGTATTCTGCCTTGGATATGTGCACAACTGTGTCTTTTGTGTGTTCTGTGGGTATGCTCCACATGGATACTTTGTTTGTGTGCCTGTGCGGGAACTTATGAAAATGAGCTGCGTCTGACTGCATGCATATACCGTATCAGCTGCCATGTGTACATGTATGTGTGTGTGTGTGTGTGTGTGTGTGTGTATACACATGCACAAATGTATAAGCACAGATGTGGCAAATGTAGTGGGGGCAGCAGGCAAGGAGGGACAGGAACAGGGATATTAATGTTTCTGAAGTGGATCTGATTTGATACGTCTTGTTCCATTGTCAGCATCTGTTTAGCAGGGATTTGTAATACTTTGTGGCTCTGGATCACTCATGCTTAGCGCGGGATGTGGCCTTGCATACCAATTTTGTTATTAAACACAGTCCTTGCCTCCCCCACAGCCCATCCATCACCTCCCGCCCCAGCCCCCACCTGCTCTGAGCTGCCCACTATATTTCAGGGCCCAGCTCCCACCCGCCTGCCGTGCCCAATGCTGGAGGGCCTGGGGCTGACAAATTGAATCAGGGGGAGATCATTCCTGGCCTAACACAGTTTGCAGTGTGTTGGAGGAAGAATTGACAAGAGCCATGTCAGCTCCATCATCCCAATCCCATAGGAGCTAAGAGCAGGCTGGGGACAAGGGGTGGAGAGCAGGGAGTCTCCAGGACAGGCAGAATCATCAGGGCAGATCCCAGGAGTGAGGTATAGTCTCCTTCCCCAGATCCCATACCTGGTATCTACATCCCCCTCCCAGTGGCCAGCATGGCCTTTGGCCCCTAAGAGAGGCTGAGCTAGGCTAGACTATTGGATTGAATGGAAGGGGTGGAGCTCCGCTATGGAGCTATGCCTTCTCTCTTGGGGTATTCTTCTACTCTACCCTTGCATGCCCTGGGCAGCAGGTGGAATGGTCACCCTGTTCTCTTCTTTCTTGGCAGCAAGAATTCCCTTCTGAAGGATGCCATGGCTCCAGGCACCCCCAAGGTAGGTGGCCAATTGTGTTTTTCCTCCTGCCCATCCTAACCTAGACCTGGTTTCTCCTGAGAAAAAGGAACCCTTCATGGATTACCAACTGTCTCCAAGGCTTGAACATCAGCCTGAGGCTTAGGGCTGCTCTGTGTGTTTCTGTGTATATGTATCTGTGTGCACATGTGCATGCATGTGTGTGGTCTGGTCTGTGTGTGAGTATGGGTATATTCATCTTACTTTCTCCTCTTCAAGCTAGAACAGGGGTCAAAGTGAAGAACAGCCTGGGAATGTGGGCAACCCAGACACTAAGGCTGGGGAAGTTCAGGAAGAAGGTGAGCTATAGCCAATGAAGAAATACATAGAAATTCAGTCAAGGCAGACAGTTCAGGGCCTCAGAAGCCAGATCATAGGACAGTGTGGTGTGGCATATGTGTGCATGTGTGTGTACATACACGTACACACATGTACATGCACATGCACAGACAATAAGGAACCAGAGAGGATGCTGGGTCCATCTGGGTAGGGAGACAATCTGTCCCTTGAATAGACACTATTGCAGAAAAACTTGAAAGCATCAGATGAAGAAAGGAAAGGTGAGGGGCAAGTATCTGGCACAAAGGAGGTGCCAGAGAGATCCTAGCACAATGACATCATTTGCACCAAGAATTCCCCTATTGCCACAAAGGTAGATGGTGCTGCTTCCTCAAAAGTGATGATTTTGAAGACTTAGAGAGCTAGAGAGGAAGACTGAAACCCTTACTCCCTGAGTATCCCCTACCCGCCCCCAGAACAAGGCTGCCCTCTCATAAGCTCTCACAGCAACTCCCTAGTGTATGTTACGGGGAGCGATGAGGAGGTGTTGAAGCTTGGGAAATAAAGTCAGTGAGGAAGAGTGCAGGGGGAAACGAGAATCTCAGGGACTTCTGCACTTACAGTCAAGATAAGGTCCAGGAGGCCAGGAAGGACAGAGAAGGGACAGTCAGTGAATTAGGAGGGCTACAGAAGAGCATGGTATCCCAGAAGCTAAGGAAAAAAGTTTTGAAATGTATGGAATGGTCAGTAATCCAATAGGGAAAGGCTAGTAAAGGAGCTCACTGCATTCTGGTGACTTCTGAGAGGACAGTTTGGGGAAAGGAGCCAGAATGACAGATATCACCTCCACAGGGTTGACCCAGCTATCCTGCAGGCCTTTCAAAGGAGTGGACTAGCCAGGCATGGTGGCACATACCTACAACCCCAGCACTCTGTGAGGCTGAGGCAGGAGGATCACAAATTCAATCCCAGCCTGGGCAACTTGGTGACTTAGTGAGACTGTTTTTTAAAAAAAAAAAAGCTGGTGATATAGCTCAGTCCAAAGGCCTTCAGTTCAATCCCCAATACTGAGGGGAAAGCAAAGGTGGGGGTGGACTTGGCACTTTCCTTCAAGAACTTGCTCAGCTATAGCCAAGTGGGAGAGGAAGAAGGAGAACTGGACCTAGCCTTGGATGGCAGCACGACTGATCAAGTAGGCAAAGTCCTCCAAGTCCTAAAAAGAAAAGAGGAGGGGAGCCAGGCAGCTTGGATTTAGAGGTAGGGAGCCACACTGGCTGAGGTTGGCCCAGCCTGCCGCATTTAAGGATGAGGCTCAGGAAGGTCATGACCAAGCTTCCACGCTGGCCACTACAACCAGTGACATCTGACGCCTAAGCATGGCTGGTAGGGATGAGGACTTGAACATGGTAGAGGCCTGTATTCTGAGGATGCAATTTTCATCCATACCTAGCTCCCCACATAACGAAGCCCCACACAAACAGCCAGATCCAAAGGCACACCCAGGAAGTCTTAAACCTGAGCACATTCCTGCATCCACAGACTCAGGCACAGTGATCACCAGAGGCAGAGGCAAGGGATACGTGCCCACCTACTTCCAGATATATGCTCACACTCCCAAACTGAACAGCTTCTGGCCCATCCTTGGCCTTGACCTAGGCTTTAGGAAAGCAGGTCATGGGGGAAGGAACAGCAGCCAGAAGATCGAAGCCTGAGACTGAGAGGACAGGGAGCGGGAGGGAGAGAGGAGGAGGAAAAGAGGACAAGGGGGCTCAGACAAGATTGATGGCCTCGTTGCCATTAAGAAAAAAATTAGCCGGTGGCGGCTATCATATTAAAGGGTGAAGAAGCCGTGAATTATTTTCTTAAAGATCTTATCGCTTACAATGATAATTTTACCTTCCAAAAGGCCACTTTTAATGAGGCGAAGAGCCAGGCAAAAAGTCATGATTTAATGCCGAGATTTTTTTTTCAAAACAGATTTTACTGCTTTTTGGTCCATGTTTAAAAAGCACCAGTGACCTTTTTTTATTCCGCTTGCCCCAGGTGTAATGCTGAGGCCTCTCAGGGCTTCTAACCTAGAGAGAATGAGAGAGAGAGAGAGAAACATAAACGAACAAGTATGAGCTTTCTCATGGTTGTGAGGGTCCCACATTGTTCCCCCTCCTCAGCATCTTCCTTGGGACCAGAGCAGAAGGACATTGCCTGAGAATACCTCCTTTCTGGTCCTGCTGGGCTCGGGTGGGTGCAGAGAGAGCTTCCAGTTATAGGGAATCCCACCACAGGCACTTTGCCGCCTCCTGTCTCCTCCAGCTCCTGGGCTAGGCAGTGGGCAAGTCATCCAGCCATCCAGACCAGCAGCTGCCCCTTTCCTTCCCAGGGCCCTTGCTGAGGATGTGCAGCCTGGCCACTGCATGCGGGTCACATTCTAAGGCTCAGTTGGAGATGAAGGATAAATGGCTGCTCCATCTTTCCCAAATTGCTTTCTTTGGGCTGTCACTGGCGATTTGGCATGGATTTCTAGGCCGGGGAGGACTCCTAGGGAATTGTATGCAGGCTGGAGGAGGGGGGCGTTGTTTTCAGGCCTCCAGGCCCCCAGTTTGCAGCTGAACAGGCCTTGGCAAGAGCTGGATCTCAGGCTGATCGTGCCATGTGGTATTTAGAACTGTGGGGCTCACACACAATTTAAAGCAGACAGTTTATTAATCTAAACTGCAGGCGTATGTAGAAGAGGCCGTGCAGGATTGACATGAGAGGATTAGTTTTGTTGGGGTTTTTGCTGGGGTCATTGCCACATCATGGGGATAAATGGACCCAGTGTACATCCCTAGCTCCACACAGGAAACTCATACATACTATTTAATTTACTGTCTCCATTGCGGGGCTGCCATCAGCCTGTACTAGGGCAGGGAGGGTGGCAGGAATATGGCTTTTCCCCCAACCCGTCACAGGGGTCCTAGAGTGTCTATTCGCTAAGAGAATGGAGCATGTATAGTTGAGCCCACTGGAAGTGGCTGAGAGTCACGCCCCACTGGGTCAGAGCTCAGGCAAAGCAAGTGTGGAGGAGGTTTTGACTCCCCCAGAGGATCTCTACCCAGCCCTTAAGCACCCATTCTCTCCCATGTGCCTTGCACCACACCCCTTCAGGGTTTCTGTCCTGTCCCTCTGCCCTCCTTCTGTGCCTCACTCCCAAAAGCTTCATAGGACTGGGGACTTCCGGGAATGACCATTGAGTCTGAGGCCTCATGTCTTTTTCTTCTTCCAGTCCCTCCTATTGTCTGCTTCCATCAAGAGGGAAGGAGAATCTCCGACAGCATCACCACACTCATCTGCCACCGATGACCTGCACCACTCAGACAGATACCAGGTGAGGAGGGTGTAGCAGGTGGCCAAAAGAAGTGAGTTCACTGGGGTGGAGCTTCAGTGCTATTCAGGGATGTTAACTCCACCCCTCCTCTACTGGCTGGGAAGAGGCCTGAATGTGTTTGATTTCCTCTGTCTATGGTAGTGCCCCTAAGTGAACTCAGAAGGCCTAGGTGTAGGGAATGGGCCTCAAATAGATGGATTTTAGGGAGGGGCACCAAAGTCCCCTGGGCTCTGCTGAGCTCTGAGCACCTCTGAAGCATGCATCCATCATCCTATGGAGTTTTGTTTTATGAAGACCCAAAGACATAGCCCGGAATCACTGAAGATTTCAGACTTTGAAAGCAGGATCCCTTAAGCAAATAACCATTCAATCCTGCCAAATTTTGGTGTCAAGCCCAGATAAAGAGGCAGACATTGCCTATGGGTGTCTTGGGCAAATAGGAAGGGAATAATCACACAGTAGTAAAACAGCAGAGCATGAAGGGACCCTAAGGGTTACAGGTGAGCTATAGATGAACCTTCTTTATGGTAGGAAGAAGAAAGAAAGCTTCCTTTCCCCGGAAGCTTTTATCTGAAGAGAGGTACCGTCTGGCCTTTAGGATCCCCATCAGATGTTAAGAAAACAAGGCCCTGCTCCAAGGAACATTTGTCTAAATGGCAACAGGGGTTCCCAGAGAGCCCGATGTAAAAAGGGAAAAACAGTCCTGGTCCGATATGAAAAGGCAACACAGTAGGGACAAATAAGCTGGGGTAGAGAGCCAGGGTCTCTGCTGACACACACACAAGCCCCTGCTTGGAACTAAAGAAAAGTGTCCTCCCAGGAACCCTTTCCTCCTAGCTGTCACAGCCTGGCATCAGGGTGCAGAGCTCAGAGAGTGGAATGCCAAGCACAGGCTAGACACCAGCCTCCACTGGCATCTCCTCTGATGGATGCCTTTTTATGGGACTCAAACTACATAGCCCAAAGTGCCAGTCTTGGAGAGGGATCCCTGCTATCGTGGGCTTAGTTTTAAGAATGACAGCCCAGTTAGCGCCTGGGAGACATCACCCTGATCCAGACAACCCTGTTTCTAGGTGGAGAAACAACTCAATTCTAATGAATTCTGGTCTCAGGGAGACAGAGGTCTATCCCTGCCCCCAAAGGATAGGCAGAGCTCTGCCTACAGAGGCCCCGCCTCTCTTCTTCACTCACAGGATCAGCCTGGCTATGTGCTCAACTAGTACAACAGTAACTGTCAAGTAAAAATTGCCTATTCTCCTGGAGCTCCCGTTCCTACCCACAAAATGTTGGTGTTTCTTTTATTCTCTACAATATATGAAGAAAGCAAGGGGCTTAGGTGAGAGGGTTTCCTAAAAGTACACACATATGATCACATGCACACACGTGCACACACACGCTCACATGCAGCATTTTACAAACAGCTAACTTTGAGAGATAAGGAAGCCTCTAGAGATCTAGGTGCTCCCCTCAGAAGTCTGTGGACCCCAAGTTAAGAACCAAAACCCTGTTCTAGACTCTAAGAACACTTCTTAAGGGACAAATCAGATTGATTTCCTATAATATAAAGTTCAAGTTCCTTTGCATGGTACCAAGGCCTTCTGTGGTTTCGATGTAACCTATATTTCCAGCTTCCATTCCTAATTCTGCCTTCCTTGAATCCCATGGTCTAAGCTCAAGAAATTAACACTATCCATTTCCTGAATGTGTCCTTCCTCTCTTGCCTCCTTATCTTTCCAAGAGCTACTGCTTCTAACAGTATTATTTTACCCCACTGAACCAAATTTCTATTTACCTTTCAACATCCCCAATGCCATCTACTCTAAGAAGCCTATGGATTAGCTATCTCTTCTCATGACCCTTGTGTGCCCCTGTTGTTGTCCCTATCACCCTATATCATGATCACTTGTTTAGGTATGTTTCTGTTATGTATCCCAAAACTTGTTGGCTCAACACAAGTTATCATTTCTTATGATTCTGTGGGTTGGCTGGACATTTCTTCACTTAAAGCAGCTCATTCCTCTAAGGAAGGGCTGGGCTGGAATGTCCTTTCCACATGTCTTGGAGCTTGGTCATGGTTCTCTTCCATGTGGCCTCTCAACTTTTTTTAATTTAGCAGTCACTCAGGAGTGTCCCACCAATAGGGTGAAGACCAAAGGGGCGCGGCTACTTGAGATTAAAAGCTGTAACTCACGCAACATCACATCCACCACCTTTTATTGGGCAAAGTAAGTCACAAAAGTAGCCCTTAATCATGAGATGAAGAAATACAGCTCTTGAGAGGAGAAGCAAAGAAATGTGGCTACATTTAATCTATCACAATGAATCTGACTCTTCAGTGGACTTGGAGTTCCTCCAAGGCAAAGACCTTGTCTTATCCTTCCCTTACTCAAACGTTTACCTAGTACCACTCATGCTCAGCCCAGTGTCCTTCCTTTCAAGGGGCTAGACTGACAAATGGATACTTATAGAACAGTATTCTAAGTGCTATGACAAGCATAGTGGAAGGAAAGAGAAATCAGAGCAAGCTTCACATAAGAGGTAATGACTAAACAGGGTTTCAGAGAAGGAATAGGAGTTCACCTGAATAACAAGGAAGAAAGGGTATTTCACATAAAGGCAATACTGTGTGCAAAGGACAGAGAGGTATAATATGGGATGATGTATTTAGAGACCGGTTAGCAGCTCAGTTTTGTTGGAAAGGAGACTGTTTACCGAATTAATGCCAAGCACTCTCTGGATGTACTGTTAGAAAAGGGAGTTGGTGGGAGGTGAAGTTGGAAAGTAACCTAGGAACTAAATGGATATCCAGCTCTTTACACAATGCCTGGCAAGTAGCAGTTTTGTGGTTGTGATGGGTTTAGGTGTTAATCTAGGCATTAAAAGTAGGGGATATTGGTTTCTGGTTTAAATTTCCATTTACCGTGCTTAGCCCCTGCTCAATACCTAACATTACTTTACCCTCATGCCAATTGCACAAGCTAGGATTCATTGGCCCTTGTTCATTACTAAGGAGACAGGTTAGGTATGTATGTGCTTTGAGAAACTGGGTTTAGCTATGTAACTTGGGATGGGCTCAATCTTGCAATCCTCCTGCCTCAGCCTCCTGGGATTACAGATGTGCACCACCACATCCAGTTTGGAGTTTTTCTAAAAACATAAATTATGAGAGAGTCAACATTTGAACTTGAGTCTGTCTGGTTCTGAATCCTAGATTGTTTCTGTTAGTCACCTTTTCATTTCTGTAACAAATACTGAGACAATCAATTCACAGAGAAAAGATTTATCTTGGCTCACAGTTTTAGAGGTATCAGTCTATGATTGGTTGGCCACATGTTGCATCACATCATGGCAGGAACACATAGTGAAACAAACCCACTCACTTCATGTCCAGAAAGCAAAAAAAGAAAGAGGAAGAGACTAGAATCCCAGTCTTTGAGGGCATGCACCCCCCTACCCCATGACTGGAAGACCTCCCACAGGGCCCCTCCTTTTAAAGGTTCTACCACCTCCCAATAGCACTAAGCTGGGGGCCAAGATTTTAACACATAGACTTTGGGGGAACATTCAAGATCTAAACTATAGCATTTCCCCAGCCTTGCACTGGGTTCCGGGCTTCCCTCATAATGTCCTTCTCCCCTATTGATACCGCCTTCATATTAGACCATGTGTTGCGTGAGGTGGAGATGACTTCTCATGTAGAAGGGATGGAGATGTAAAAAATGAAAATACATATGATTAGAAGGTCACCAAGGAACTGTGAAAACTGGCAGGAGGTGATAAACCCAGACTTGGAGGGGAAGAAAATGAAGCCTTGCCAGAATTCTGAAAAATAAACAACAGTTAACCAACCAGGAGACACTGGAGTGCAGAGCAAGGAGAGCTCAAAGAGCCACAGGTAACTCTGCAAAACTGAGCATCAGGAGGAATTGTGTGAAGGGAGGGAGCAGGTGTGGTAAAAGTCTAGAGAAGCAGGCAAGGCAGGGCAGGGCAGGTCCCGTATGTCACGGGACTTCTATGTGGAAAACCATTGAAGGAGTTAAAGAAGAGGATACAGGGTTAATTTTGCATTAAAGAAATACCCTGTGTGAAACGTGAAAGATACGTTGCAGGGAGAGAAACTAGAGACCAAACGATGAACTGGGAGGCAGTTGCAAATTGAGAGCTAATAAGATTATGAACCAGAGCAGTGACCGATAGGTGTAGTCATTGAAGCAACATTCAGGGGTGTCTTCCCTATGGGAAGTGCTATGCTGGGGCTCTGGGTTTACCAGAGTGACTCACATGGCGCCCCCAACCCCAGTGTGGTCAGGCCACTGTTAAAAATTTATACAAGCTACGTAGAGATGAAAGTACTCTTATGGGAGGGAAAGCAATGCTTTAGTTAGGCCTGGAAGGAGGATGAGTAGGAAATACACAAGAGGGTGGTCAGAAAACGTTAAGTTAAGAGATCTTTAAAGGTAGATTCTAGGGAGCTAAAGGATTGACTGTGAGGGATGAAGGAGAAAGTGAGGTCAAAGGTAACTCTCAACTGTGTGAGTCCAGTAGATGTTGGCATCCTTAAGAACTCGGAACCCAGGAGGAAGGGGGTGGGGGTGAGTTCAGTTGTTGGCCTTAAAGACGTGCAATGCCTGTGGGAGCTCCAGACAACGTCCAGCAGACAATGAAATTCTGGGAGTCTTCTAACAACAGGACGGCGATGGACTGGGGGCTAAATGTAGGCCGCATAATGTGGGACGGCCCGTGGACGATCGGATATCGGTTGGCCTCCTTCCAGCCAAAAAGCACTTCTCAGCCTCTGCCCTAGGGCGTCCGCACGGGAGGCGGGACTCGCGGCCGGGCTCTGGGGCGGAAGAAGCCCAGCAGTAGGAGGCGGCTAGAGCGGGGCTGGGGAAGGACCTCGCGGCAGCTAAAGTGGCAGCTAAAGTTAAAGAGGCGGGGGAAGGGGAAGATTTAGGGGCGGTAGGAGGACCCCTTGGGGCGGCCCTAGATGATTGCTCTCGGAGTGCGAGCTGCCGTTTCCCAGTCCCAGTCCGGCGATTTCCCCCCCCATTGTGAACTTTCACCTCCAGCGCGCAACGGCGGCAGGTCACGTGATCAAGCCCAACATGGCCGCCGCCGCTGCTGGGAGCTGAGGTGCCGCCGCCGCCGGGCAGCCGGGAGGAATCCGCCCGCATCGTCGCCCTCACTGTCCGGGCCGTTACGGGGCCCGGAGCACCGGACGCTGGGGCTGGGCGGCACCGCGCGACGGCCACGGGGTCCCGTTAGAGCAGCCCCGGCGGCTATGCCGAGGGCCCGGAACGGCCGGCGGAGCAGGGGGGCCGGCGGGAGGGAGGAAGTAGGTTTGTTTACGGGCTGTTTGGGGCGGGGCAGGCCTGAACTGGGGTCGCGTGCTGGAGCGGGGGCTGGGACTCCAGGCCGAGTCTAACCCTCTGTTCTCTTTTTTCGTATCTGCCCGGGATCTTCTTCCAGACCTTCCTGCGAGTGCGAGCCAACCGGCAGACCCGACTGAATGGTGAGTTCTGCCCGGCCCCTCCCTCCGCCCCACCCCCGGTCTCCTCCCTCCCTCACTGCCCGCAGCTCCAGGCTTGCCTGAGTCTTCCACATTGGGGCCCCCTGGCTTCTTCGCAGTCACAGCGCCTTGTGTATGTGCAAACCAAAGCTACCACCCTCAGTTTCCCCGTCTGTCTAATGGAGGTTATTATTCCCAGTTCTTCCCCAGGCCTCTCTAAAGCCCCTGGAGAACCGGGGGAGGGGGGCAATAAATACCGGAGAATGAGGAACAAGCTACACAATTCCACTCGGGAGCCCGGCTTTGAATTTGCAAACTGCTGGGACCACACTATACAAGCTGGCAGGGTGCTGAGAATGTTTTTCTTCCAGTTTTTAATCAGTGCCCAGTAGTGTGAATACGGCCTCTCTGCTGAGACTTGACAATACATTGAGATCTGGAGTTCCCACGGCAACAGGAACTAACTCATCCCAGGGCTCTTTGAGTTATCAGTCGGCCCACATTTCACAAAGGTGATCAGCGTGGGCTCGACAGCTCTTAGAGGCCTTCTCTGAGAGCAGACCGTGTATGTACTACCTGGCGCCCCCCTTTTGGATTCAAATCTCTGGAGCGTTCCTGTTTGCTCAACACAATTGAATGATCCTTGCTTTTTGTGCAGACTAGGGTGTGGTATATGTAGGGGTTGGCTGTAAAGGGCTTGGGGTCTCTGGGCCAGCTGGTGCGTGAGTGTGGCAATGGACCTTCAAGATTCCCCATCTCTTCCCATTGGTTGCTATTGCCAGGTTCAGCTCCTGTCTAGAAAAGAGCATTCATCACGGGTTGGCACCATATTAAGCACCATTCTCACAACGCCTCTGAGAGGAAAATGTTACACACGTTTTGTAAGTAAGGAAAGAGGTTCTCAGAGGTGAAAGTGTTTTGTTCAAAATCACACAGCTAGGATGTAGTTGAAATATGATTGAATTGAAGTTTGTTTACCTCCACAACCTGTGCTTCTCTACCATGCCTTGCTGCTTCCCTGGCAAATGCTTTGACCCTTCCAACTCAGAGGTAGCCTTGGGTAGAAAACAAAACTCTACCACACTATGGTAAGTTTAGTTCAGAATTTAAAAGATGACTGGCTAGGTGGGCTGGCAATTTAACTCAGTGGTTCTGCCGCCTGCCTCAAAAGCACAAGGTCCAGAAAGCACAAGGTCCAGAGTTCGATCCCCAGTACCAAAAAATAAATGAAAGATGACTGGCTAGGAAAAAAACCAACCTTCCTTACCTGAGAATTTCCAAATGAATCCACCTGCCAGGGTGGCTTTCTGCAGCTACAGCAGACCTATCTGTTGGCCTAGGTGTCCTAGGCTTGGAGAACATCCATTATTACGCCCTTTGGCAACTGTGAGATTCATTTCTTTATTCAGTCATCCAAAAATGTTTGTCAATGGTCCTTCTTACCCAAGGAGGCATTCCCTCAGATTCTAGGCAGGATAGGTGAGGAGGACCCTTGGTGTTAGCACACTGCTCCATACTGGGCTTCTAGAACTCTCAGGGGCCCTTGCTTAATGCCTTTCTGATGTCTTATATCCCTTCTACATCTCAGCCCTGGCTCTAGAGTGTCAAGGCAGCCTGAGCATGCGATTCCAAGGTTTAGGTCGGCCAAAGCAAAGCATTTTGGATCTTGGTGCACAGACAGTGGGGCTCCAGAACATAGTCATATCTCTATAGTGGAAACATGGGACATTGAAGAGGTGGACAAGGCCATAGACCAAGGTTTCCCACACTCCATGCTTAGTTCTGGTGGGCTGGTGACTTTCTCTTTGGTTTGGGTCATTCTGGGGCAACTCTTCTGGAGTTGGAGAGGTTCCCTGCCTCGTACCCTCAACAGGCAGGAGTTGGAGCCCTGAATGCTCCTTGGGATCAGACTTGATGCTGCTCAGTCAGGATATTCTTGGGACAAGAAAGCATTGTAGGCTATGGAGTCAGACCTGTTTTACTATTTTTTTTTTTTTTTTTGTACCAGGGATCAAACCCAGGACCTTGCACTTGCGAGGCAGGTACAGTGCCACTGAGCTAAATCCATGGCCCATTTTTGGTTTTTTTGTGGCAGGGTCTTGTGTGTAGTCCAGGCTGACCTTGAACTCACTATGTAGTCCAGGCTGGCCTCAAACTCAAAGCAGTCCTCCTGCCTCAGCCTCCCAAGTGCTGGGATTACACCATGCCTGGCCTGCTTTCCTACCTTACCACTTAGCAACTTGGACAAGTGCCTTGACCACTTCAGGCTTTGGGTTTCTTTGTCTATTAAAATAGGGAAATCCAACCTTAGTTTTGGAATATAGATGTAAATGAGCCTCCTTGTGTAAGGTACCTGGCTCTGAGCTGGACATAAGAGTACAAGCTCTAAATTGTAACATATTACCTGTCATCTGTGTTCCCCTCTGTTACTTTCATGAGTTTCCCATCAAGGCAGCACCCTTTAAAAAAGTTCTTCCTGGCCCTGCAGTGGAAAACCCTTTCCTCTTTGGTAGGCTCCCTTCCCTCTCCCCATTTATGTGGTCCCAGAATGGACATGTCTAATCCTGCTGTTTTATCCTGAGAGGAACTGGAGGGAACACAGTCCCTTGTTTTGACCCCTTCCTGCTTTAGTGACAGGAGGGCTGCAGAGAGGGATTAGTGAGCTAATTAGAAATGATTGCATCTCTCAGCATTAATTAGCAGTGCTGTGGGCTTGCAGTATGCACTTTGGAACTGAGTCCCCTGCGGGACAGCATGGCAGGCAGCCCTTTGCCTTTGGGGCCTGCCAGCCCCTTTACACTGATTAGAAATGATGGAACAGGTTAGGGTGGGCACAATAAGGGCTGCCCTCTACAGGTACCCTGGACTCTCTGATCCAGCCATGCAAGGTCTGACCCAGACCCTCTGTATTTTATGGCTGGGCCTCAGTCTCCTTTCCTATAAAATGGGACCAGTGGGCTTCAAAGAAGTTCCTCCTGGCTGATTCTAGGAAGGATGCTAGGGATCCTCAGGACTGTTGGCCCTGGAACAAACAGTTTTAACTGATGAATCCCCCCAGGAAGGCCTTGCATTCTAACTGAGAAATGTCTAGAGCTAACATCTCCAGACACAAAAGAGCCTGTGGTGTTGGCCCTCCGGGAGATACCCAGCAGCATGGAGTGTCTTTGCCTGTTGGGCTCATTGAGCACTGCAGATAGGTATGGGTTGAGCTTGAGCCACCTGTGGCCTAAGAATGGACACTTCCCTGGCCCAGCACCAGTCTCTTCTCCAGGTGTTCTTGGCAAGGCCCAGTCCCCAAAAGAGCAGGAAACGCAGCAAAACAAAGGCCAGAACAGGCACTGAAAAAAGGGCTGATGGCTAGCAGCAGGTCAGGATGTGTCAGTTCCACTGGGACTCCAAGCTACAGTGCCTGTCTGCTTATTCTATGCTTTATTTTCGGTTTTCCATGCAGCTCGGATTGGGAAAATGAAACGGAGGAAGCAAGATGAAGGGCAGGTATGTCCCCTGTGCAACCGCCCCCTGGCAGGATCGGAACAAGAGATGAGTAGGCATGTGGAGCATTGCCTTTCTAAGGTAGAGGGGCCATTGCCACCCGTCTTCCTTCCCCCCCTCTTCCCCTGACTAGCTGCTGACTTGTCCCCAAATCTGTGGGTTCTTGGGGTCTCCACTTGGTCTCAGCAGCTTCTTCCCCTCTGTTCTTTGCTTTTTTCCTTTGCTTTAACACTCACTCCCCCACCCCCTTGGGCTCCAGTGGAAAATTATTGGGAAGAGGCCTAGGTCTTTGACCTCTAGATTTCTTTTACCTCAGAGGAGCCCTAGAGCCAGGGCCCCATCTACCACATTACAGCAGGGGCTAGAGCTTGTGCCCTCCCTCCTTGCAGGCTCTTGGGGAGCAGGTGGGGATGGCGGCCTGGGCCCTACATAATCCTGCTCTGCTCTTCCCAGAGGGAAGGCTCCTGCATAGCTGAGGATGATGCTGTGGACATCGAGCATGAGAACAGCAATCGCTTTGAAGAGTATGAGTGGTGTGGGCAGAAGCGGATACGGGCCACCACTCTCCTGGAAGGTGGCTTCCGAGGTACAAGCAGCCAACATACAGGCAGTAGCAGTCTGGTGGTCAGGGCTGGTGGCTGGTCATCCTTGTTAGCACGTGGGAACTGCTGCTGGTTGGGCTCCTTTGTGACTGTGCTGCCTGCCTGTGAGGTGCATATTAAATGGATGTGTTTGGGTGGGGAAATGGAATTGTGAAGCTGCAAGCTAGGAGTGACGAGGGGGCTCTCAGCCTCGGGTGATGCATTGAAGGTGACAGCCAAGCCGCGTTAGCACCTGCATAAAATATTAAAGGGACGGTTATGCATTTATCACTCCATCCCTCTTAAGGCTGATAAATGAGAATCCAGCAACCTGCTGTACACCTCTAGCGCTGGAGGCCCTGAGGGCTTCCAGGCAAACACATTGGATTTTCCTCCTCCTCCTCAACCCTATGTCAGTGAAATCAGTTGCAGAGGAGAGAGTGAGTTATGGCAAAATTTGACCTCCCATGAGCTTCATTGGTGAATCTAATTTTAACTCTGATCCCATCCCTTCTCCCTGGACACCCTCTGCCCTGGAGCAAGAGGGACCTTGGCCCAGCTGCTCCCTGCTTCCCTTGGGCTCTCCTCAGTTGCAGCAGAGGATTTTGCAGGCCCCTATCCATTTCCAGTGCCCTCACAGCTTCTTCGAGGGACATAGCTTGGCCCCTCTACCATGTCTGGTAGCAGAATTGGTTGGGTGCCCAAGTTCAGTGTCCTTTTGTCAAAGTCCCCTGCCATGGGCAGGGGGAAAGGGGAGCTGTCTGCATCCTGGCCTCTAGCTCTTCTCGCCTTTGTGTGAAAGCACAGCTGGCACCGCAGCTTGTGGTCATTAAGGGAGCCAGTCTGCTTCCCGTCTGTCTCCTGTTCGTAGGCAGCACCCTTGGGAGTACCACTGTGTATGGTCCCTGGGGATCTCCCAGCATCTGGGAAGAAGGTCTTGCCTCTTTGGGGCCGTGCTGCCTGGGCTCACGTTGAGGAGTGGGCTCCACAGTGCTATGCGGTGCAGACTGGCCACGTGAAGGGGCTGAGAGCCCAGATGGGCCATTATGCCTTTGGGCTGCTCTCACATTATCCACATGTCTGAAGACAAGCCAAAACGTAAATCAAGAGGGTTAAGCCAAATTGTTTCCTTGAGCCTGAGCTGCACAGTGTCAGTTGCCTCTACACTCTGGTCCTATGCAGGATCTGTAGCATAATGGGACCCCGGCAGAATGAACAGCAGAGCCCATGAGCCCAGGAATTGGGCACACAGGTGTATCTGTTGGGATGCTGCTCTGGATTAGGTCTGTTCGAAGCTACAACTGTTCACATCTTTCATTGCTGTGGTGACGTTTTAGTCACATCTCTTACCACAGAACTGGACCTGATGTCTTCTCGGGACCAGGCAGGACTTGAGGGGTTGAAGGTGCACAGGCCCTGCAGATTTGGCAGTCTTTCTCCCCGCACTGGGATGTACTTGCGGAGCTGTATGAGGGGCTTTCAAGGCCTGGACGGGTATCAGTTTTCCCTGAGTGTTTACACTTCGAGGTTGTTTCTTTCATGAATTCCCAAGGAGAGTTCAAAGGGGCCTTTTCTTTGAGTGATCTGGAGAGCGAGAATGAGAGTGAGACTTGAAGAGGGAACGGGCCGGAGGTGCCTTTATCTGCAGAGAATTGCTCCAGCTTTCCTGATAGAAGTTGCTGCCGCCTCTTAAACAGCTTAGTACAGTCAAAAGACAGGCTGGCTTGAAAGGCTGTTTTACAGCAAGATCAGCAGGGGCCACGAAGCAGAGAACGAAGCATGGTGGAGCGGAGGAGGCTGAGCCTCCTCAGTGAGGGGGAGCTATCAAAGGGAGGCCTGGCTGATCCCCACTGCTCTGCCCCTGAAACCCTGTTTGCAAAAGCTGGCCATCTGTCAGCCTACCCTCCCTGGCCAAGTCCAGTGGGCCCAACTCTTGGGGGGTTAGGTGTGGCCCCGCCAGGCAGGCTGGTGTCAGTGCAGTGCATTGATCACCCGCCGGGCGGGCCAGGCCGCAAGCCGGGCAGCCTGTGCTTAATGTGATTGAAAGGCAGTTAAAATGGCGGTGACCTTTTCAGGAGGAATTAGATTGCCTGCCAAGACCGGTTAGAGGGAGTGATAACGCCAGCTGAAGAAGCTGCCCAGCCAACTTCAGAGAGAGGGAGGCAGAGGCAGGATGCGAAGGCGAGTAGCGAGGCCCATTTAAGCTGAACTGCGCATGCTGACAGAACAGAGATTGCTGTCCTTGTTAGATATGAAAGAATTGAAGAATTGCAGATAAGTTGCTCTATCTGATCATTCCTTGTCCCTCCTCCCAGTGCAGGACCCCTTCATCATCCTCAGGAAAGCTTCAGGTCAGATTGGCTACCTTGAACATGACCTGCTGTGGCAAGCAGTAGATAAGCAAGTTGGTGGAGAAACTTAGCTGGGAGCCGCAGGCCTTCGGGTTGGAGACCTGTGGTTACTGAGAGGGAGGCCCAGATATTGGGCCTACGGGTGCTTGGAATTGGTATTTCAGGACCAAGTGAAAGACCAGACAAAAGAGGAAAGCATCAAGATGGGTCCAGCTAAAAACTTTCTAAAAGACCCAAGGAAATAGGTAAAGATTTTATGAATTTGGAAGAAGCTTTTGTTACCAAGGAAAGCTGTCCTTCACAGTTTTAGTAGAAATCCTCAGGCTTAGTGCCTAAACTGCTGATTGTCTTTTCAGAACCCAAGATTTTCTAAGCTCTAGTGCTGTTTGCTTAGAGGTTAGCACACAAAACCTAGTCCTTCACCTAAAAGAGATCAGCAGTATAGGAGAAAAAGATGCTCTTCTAGGGTACCCTGACAAACCTGGAAGGAGCAGAACAGGGTCCTTCTAGGCTAGAGAAGCATGCCATGGGGAACCTGCCCTTGAGCCAAACCTGCCTCTACCCATAAGCCAAGGACATAGATCATGTGATGAATGAGTCATGGCACGCCTTTCCTCTCACAGCCTCCCTCTAGCTACTCCTAGATCCTGGAGAAGAGACCTATGAGCCTTCCCCTCTTCTGGTTGCTGGTGAGAGTTCACCCAGCTGGATTTGGGAAACCCAGAGCTCTTCATATCTGGAAGGGACAGACTAGAGAAAGGACATGGGAATGACTGGTTTCAAATAAAGTGGCAGTGATATAGTGGCCACGAGAGTGGTGAGGTGGAGGGATTTCCCAGGAGGCTACACAGGAAGTATGTGATGTCTACAGCTCTTTCTTTGAGCCCTAGGTGAATTCATTGTTGGCAAGGTGAAGTGAAGAGGAGAATGCCTAAGACATTTGACTATGCAGGGCTTCTGCCCTATCAGGTCCCAGCCTAGGGACTGCATCTTTCTCGAGTTCCTGTCTTAGTTTATGGTGGTTCTAAAATACCCTAGAGTGAGAAATCATGGAGAGAAAAAGGCACTTTTGGTGCAGCTCTTGTATTGAGCTGTTTGTTGATGAAACTTCAGCACCACATTACAGGGCAAGTGGCTGAGAGGTAGTGTGAATCCCAGGGCTCAGGTGTGGGCCTCACCCTAGCTGGTGCTTCCTTTGGCATGTTGGTTCTCAAAAGATAAGAGCCTCAGTACTAAAATGTCCCCATGCAGCTCTGTGGCTTGGTCCTGTCAGTGACATGTTGGAACGGCACACCATTGGAGACAAGCTTGGGATGGAGAGGGCTTGGGTGCCTGCCTCCTCATGCCCCACTACCTTCAGTTATGACTGTCGCCTGTTGGGTGGGGTGAGAGATGGGGTGGCAAGGAGCAAGGTGCCTTCTGTCCCCTGTTGCAATGGCCTGGATTTAATCTCCTTCTGGAACACAATTGTTAAGCTGGAGCACAGGCAGAAGGAGCAAGTATCAATGGTTTTAAACGGCGTCTGTCTCTGTGCGTCTCTCCTGACGTGAGGCAGTGAAACGCGTTATCGAGGAGGCCCGGAAAGTGGCTAAGTGCGTTTGACACACGCCAACTCCCTGCCTCCACACTGGATAATTGCATTGTCAACTGTTCAGCGAGGTGGCAGGTGACACTGCAGGCCGATTGATTGTCCCGCATCGCAGCTCCCCAGACTGTCAGCTCCCCAATCGATGGCGTTTACACAAGACACCGTAACTGCATCTGTAACTAATTCCAGTGTAAAACTCCCCGGAAGCTGCTGCCCCTGCCCTCCCTGTTGGCGAGCACCAACCTCTGGAGGGCCCCAAGATTTTCCTTTCTTCATGGTCTCTGGTTTGGTTTGGGAGCAGGTGAGGAAATCAATAGCTCCTTGTGGTTTCAGGTTCCAGGACATTACTGCCCCCAGTAAACGGGCATCTCCAGTTTCTCAATCGATCATTTGAGCAATTGATTAAATTAATACTGATTCCCCACCCCCCTCCATGACCCAGGAAGAAATGAGTTTATGGGAGAAGGGTCATTTTCATAAAATTTAGACTTACATATCATTTCTGCACTTAACCCTCTCCCTCTCTATTGCCAAGTATTCACCAGGAGGGAAGAGATTTTTTGCGCTGCCCATCCGCTCAGGAGTGGGCAACTGCCCACTGTGTTGGGGATTGTTGACTGTCAGGCTTGGTTTACCTGTGAGTGGGGACCCAGTCCATTTTGCCACTTTCAGGTGGGACAGATCCATATAGCAGGGGGCCCTCTCCTTCCTTCCCTGAACAGCAGTGGCAGGGGTGGCAGCTTGCCTGTTCTTGGGGCTCCACAGAAGAGGAGCCAGAGACTTGGAAAGGCACTCTCTGTGCCATGTTGCCTCTGAGTACTGGCTTGGGATATTCCAGCAGCTGAGAACATAAAATGACTGTGGAGCCTTCCTCTAAATGGGGGGGGGGGCAAGCTGGCGGGGGCACTGTCTACATAAAACGGCTTTATGGCCGTTTCTTTTTATTATGATTCTGCCAGAAGTCAGCAAGTGACATTTCATTAAGAAAATAAAGTTTAATGTGCTGGGAAGGAGGTTGGAGCAGGCTGGGGCAGCACCAGAGTGAAATTGGCAGTAGCAGCCTGTTCTGAACACCTGTGGGGGTAGGGAGAGGTTCCCCACATCTGTCTTAGCTGGAGGATAGAGTCAGGGTCAGAGTAGACTGCCCACATCAGAGACAGAGAGGCTTTCCTTTGACAAACAAGATATGTCATGCTCTCTCCCCCCTTCCTCACTGCTCAGAGGAACAGAAGGTTGCTGCCCAGCTGGGAGCTAAGGTCTGTTAGGAAAGGTTGTGTACTAAGAGGCTGGGCCTTCCTTTAGGGGGCTCCCAGGACCTCACAGAGCAGTGTCGCCAGTGTTTAGCCGTTACCCTTGGGAGACATCATGTGGCACCTTCTTTGGCCCTGGCTAGCTCTGCTGGATGATACTTAGATCATAGCAGTGAGTCAGACGTGAGGCCCTTGAAGCTTGCTGGTGAGAAGCAGTGTCAATACATGCGAATAAATGTAATCTTGGGAGTTGCAGGGGAGTTTGGGTAGACACCAAGGAAGAGACATCTGTACATAAGGACCTGGGGGAAGTTGTACCCACGAGTTAAAGCACCTAGGTTAGTGATGGCGAACCTTTGAGAGCATTCAGTGATACAGACAGCTGCCGCAGCATGCATGCCATAGGTTCACCACCACTGAGCTAGGAGATGGGAACCAGATCTTGAATGTCTGTGTTCTCCACACGAAGCCAAAGCACAGACTTCATAAAGGTTCACAGAATGTCAGATGAGAAGTCCTTCCTTTAAGCACTATGAGTTATGGCAGAAGGCATGGTTGAGCAGAGTCAGACCTGCCTACTGGTAGGCATTGGTTTTGTAGACCAGCAGGGAAAAGATTCCAGACGGGGCAGGAGGTACAAAGGCAGGGGCATAAAGCACATAGGATTTGGGAGACCGTAATAGCTATGTTCGACTGAAGCATGAGTCCTGGTCTGGCTGGGCACTGTGGTGCACACACTGTAATCCCAGCACTCAGGAGGCTGAGGCAGGAAGATCACAGCTAGTTCCGGTGCCAACCTGATGCCAGCCTGAGCTACATAGAGAGACCACCTAAATAAAAAAAAGTCCTGGTCTAAGCAGGGTAGGTGGTGAGACTGCAGAGGAAGGACTTAGGCTTTATATGTTGAGACTTTTTCTAGCAGCTATGGCTGCCCTTGTTTTCTCTGCTTTGCCAAGGGAGCCATACTGGGCTCGGGTAGTGCCAGGGTTCTCTGATTTCTTTTCTGCCTACTAGCGAGGCAGGGCAGGGCAGGGCAGGACCAGCCTAAACAGGATGTGAGGCTGGCTGCTGAGCAGCATATACTTGGGAAAGGGGGGTTGGCAGGCTCGGGGGGTGCAGGCTGTAAGTGAACCTGATAGCTACATTCTGATTGATGGCGGAGTTTGTCTCCCAAACTGTCAGTGGGTTTATAGAGGTGCCACTCACCCACAAGGCGAGAATTGCTTGTCAGGACACCTGGCGTGAACAGGAGACTGAGCTGTAACTTGGTGTTTTCTCAGCTTAATGGCCCCACCACTGACCTGCCTGCTGCCTCAAATATGTCAGTGCTTCCAGGTTGAGGGCAAATGAGGATTGTCAGGGGTGGGTGGAGCCTAGGCAGTGCCCAGTCTCTTGCTCTGGTGCTGCTTACCTCTGGGATGGCTGGAATCTGAGATCAGAAACCTGAGGGGTAGAAGGGAAAAGGAAGATTGGGAAGATAGTGCTTTTCAGGGCTTGAAAGATTAAGAACATTCCAAATTGACTGAATAGCATGAATGGAGGAATCAATGTGTGTTGGGTACAGCAAGCAGTCCCAGTGTTCCAGTGACAGGGTTTCTGGAGTGAAGAGAGTATAGAGAAGTAGATGCTTGTAGATCATCGTGGATCTGGCTGAGGAGCTTGGGCTTAGCTGTGCATGCAGTGTGGAGCCACAGGAGATTTTGGAGCAGAGAAGAGAAGGGCCAGAACTGTATGGTAAGCAGGATGAAGAAGAGGCAAGAAGCTTTATGTCTCATTTAAACTGCTTCCCTAATGAGAGTACAAGGACCTAAGAGCAGAAAGAATGGACAAGAAAGCCAGGTGTGGTGGCACATGCCTGTAATACCAACACTCGAGAGGCTGAGGTAGGAGGATCACTGTGAGTTCGAGGCCAGCCTGAACCACACAGAGAGACCCTGTCTCAAAAAAAAGAATGGACAGGAAGGCTTTTCTGAGGTCATTGGGCAGAGCCCTGAGCTTTGCCCTTGTTTCTTTAAGGATTTCTTTGCTGATCCACTGGCCACAGAGTCCTTTGTTTTATTTTTTCCCTAGCAGGGGTGCCATGTTGGCTAGTGAGGTGGTCTGAGACCCACTGAGAGGAAGCAGAGGTGAGGGACAGCTCGGTGGTCACTGACCATGAGTCAGGAAGGGTGGTCCTGAGAGTCAGAGACCACCTGGCAGGTGAGAGGGCCTAGTATAGCCTCTGAAATCACCTCTCCCTGTTAGCCTGGGCTTTGCCAAATGCATCTTAGAGGCATCAGCCACCTGCTTGGCCCTTGGCCTGCCTCGGCCCAGCCTTCATGGTCTGCTTTTAGAGGCAGGTGTGCATGGCTATCCTCCCTCGTCTGTCCTTTCCTAATCCCTTTATAACTACACTTGTCCAGGAATCTGGGCTGCGTGAGGTAGAAATGAATAATTAATGTCAGGCGCTTCACACACCAAATATTTGAACAGCTGCCTGGTGTTTTTGCTGGCAAGGACCTGGCAGCCAAAATCAGGATGTTGGCTGGGGGTCCTGCTCCATGGCTCCGATTGGCCTTAGCCAGCCTGTCCTCCTCTTTGATGGACTTGGGAGGCTAGACAATAGGACATAGGGAGTGAGGGTCCTGTTGGGCTTATCTTTTACCTGAATCTTTCTGGCTTCTTTGAGCTCTTTCTGGACCTGAAAGACAAGTGGCTAGCAGGCCCGGGGTGGGGTGTCTCCTAGGGACCTGACAGTGTATAAAAGGGCCAGGTTATGAGCAGAGACCACCTGGAACAGCATCCAGTGGCTGAGAGGATGAGGTGTGCAGAGTGAAAGGACCAAAAGGTTAGAGCAGTGATGGCGGACTTTTTAGAGACGAGGGCCCAGAGTGTAACCCAAAACCCACTTATTTATCACAAAATGCCAACACTGCAATTAAACCTGAATCCTGAGGGTTTAGTTTAGAAAAAAAAATTTATACATTAACATCTTTTATCTTTAAAACAGAAAAAAAAAATACATGTGCCATAGGTTTGTCACCACCCATTTAGTCAGGAGCACAAAGTATCTGACTCAGTATATCCCAGGACAGGTTTTTGTCCAGCCTTACCTGTCCCTTGGCCTGGTCTTGTTCACCCCTGGCCCTCCTCATACCCTGCTTCCCACAGGCTCTGGCTTCGTCATGTGCAGTGGCAAAGAGAACCCGGACAGTGATGCGGACCTGGATGTGGATGGAGATGACACTCTGGAATATGGGAAGCCACAGTATCCTTGGGGCATTATGGGATAGGGTGGGCTGATAGGAATAAAAATGTGGCCAGTGCTTCACCCCAGAGGCAGAGGCTCGGCTTTGGCCAGCGGAGATCTTCCTGGGGTACTGCAAACTCAGATCCACTGTCCTTGACCACCGTGCCAGATACACAGAGGCTGACGTCATCCCCTGCACGGGCGAGGAGCCTGGTGAAGCCAAGGAGAGAGAAGCACTGCGGGGTGCAGTCCTAAAGCAAGTGTGGGCACAGGCTTCGGTGGGTGGGATGGGAGGATGGGAAACTGGGAGTCAGGTCTCAGCACAGTGCTCACCCTCAGGGCTGTCCTGCCTGCCTTTGGGCCTCACTCTGTTCTTCTTTTCCTCTAGTGGTGGCCCTCCCAGCACCCGAATCACACCTGAATTCTCCAAATGGGCCAGTGATGGTAAGTCCCAACCCAGGTTAGCTGTAATGCGGAGATCCCTGGATGGTGGTGACTGACTAAAGCCCAGGCCCTCCTCTGCCACCTATGTGGCCAGAGGCTGAGTTGCCCCTCTGTCCCCACAGAGATGCCATCCACCAGCAATGGTGAAAGCAGCAAGCAGGAGGCCATGCAGAAGACCTGTAAGAACAGCGACATTGAGAAGTGAGTGTGGCTGGCCAGGAGGGGGCTCTTTCTAGCAGGAAGGCTGGCTGCCAGGGCTTCTGGCCCTCCTGAGTGCTGCTCCGTCCTGCTGCCCTGGGCATGAAGCCGGGAGTGGAGCCCAGCTGGTGCTAAGCATGACTCTGTGAATTGATCGCTGAGCCACGGCCCCGGGAGCCTTGATGGAGGGAGGAGCAGTCCGCCTGCCCACCCGCCCGCTGCAGCGGCCTCCGTCCGGGGAATGTGATGTATGGCCACCCAGCCTAGCCGGCGCACTTGATTCATCTCTAGTTTCTGTTTCTTAATCGGAAGCTAAATTGGTTTCATTTTTCTTGTCCCGGGTGGCACTCACAGTGGGTTTTAGGCAGTTGCATCCAGTCTCATCATTTCTGGTAGGAATTTTTGGCCAGGGTTCTCCAGCGGGGGAAAGGGGATCCACTAACACTTTACCCAGAGATGGGTAGCCCCTGGCTTGGATCCTTAGGAGCCACAAGGATTTGATACTGGGGTATCTCACTACCTTTCCAGAAGCCCAAGCAAGGCCTGTTCTGGCCCCAGGAGGTGGCATTGTCCAGTCTATGCTGCCTGGAGCTACTGTCATTGGCCATTGTTTATCTCCCTGCATCTGCCCCCTCCCTCCAGCTGGAGGCTAGGTGGCCTGGGGTTAAAAGGCAGCCTCTTCATTCTAGGACCAGTGTTCCATCTTGCCTCCTGCCAGGAGAGTGGATTGCAGGCCAGCAGAGGGCTGGGTCGGTGGCCCAGGGTCACCTCCCATTTGTTTCCCTCCATTTTGTGTTGTCATAAATTCATTCCAGCCCGTTGTGGTTGATCAGTTTATCTCGGCCGGGGCCGCAAGTGCTGCTGGCATGATGTATGGGCCGAGGCGCAGGGCCCGGCTGCCCATGAATCACCGCAGCTGCTCTGTGTCAGCGCCGAAGTGGGCCGTACGGGTTCGGCACAACCAGCTTGGGGGGGGCAGGAATGACGTATGGATGTTTATTTAATAATTCTCTCCTACTCCAGCTGAGTGGGGCAGGCGGGGCCGTAAGGGGCGCCCACCCTCGTCTGGAGGGGCTGCTCATAAATCAGAAAGACAAGATCATTAATCAGGGATGGCGCCCAAGGGGGAGGTGGGGGCCAGAGCCAGTGGCCATCCGTGAAGATACTACCTACTCAAGGCCATGGGGAGCCGACAGTTCTGTCCCACCTGTGTGAGCACAGGCTGTAGAAGGCTGGGTTCTCAGACAAGTTGGGGACCGGCTCACTGCTATGTAGAGATCTCCATCTCTGGAGGGACTCAGGGATAGCTTACAACCATACTGAGTCAGGGGCTGAAGGATTGGGCATTTCACCAGAGCAAAGATTAGAGACCAGGTATGTACTGAGCAAACCTAGGATAAGTGGGCTCGGGAGCTCTGTTGGCCCTCAACTGTGGCCATGGAGTTCTTGGAGGAGGCCTTAGTTCTCTCATCTTTGAAATTCCCATTGTGGTCCTTAGCATAGCTCCCAACAATCCAGACAGGAGTGGTACCTATAGCATTGGGCAAAATGTCAGGAAAGAAGACAATTGTGGGGTACTTATAAGGAAGGAAGGGGGATACAGGCTTCCTAGACAGAGCCAGAAGATTGAATGGAAGCTCCCAGGAATCAGCCAATACTAGAAGGAACTAGAGGCAGAGCCTTTCTTGAATCCCTAGAGAGGCAGGGTAGAGAGAATCTCGGACATATAGGGTAGTGGATCTAGAGCATCCCAGTACACAGCCATTAGGGAATCATATCCTGCACTGCTGCTAGCACCTAAAAGAAAAAGTTCAGAGATGAAGTTTGCTGTTGTATGCCGTTCACCACTACCTGCCCCACATGCCCCAAGACCACCTGCATCTAGTGATGACCAACCACCTGTAGGCATTCAAGCTATCTCAGCCAGTTGTCTTCCCCAAGCTGGCAGAACAACCCCCCCACCCCAATACTATCACACCATACGTCAGTGTGGTTCCACCTGCAGCCTCTGTGCCCACCCGGCTTTGCTTCCTGACAGAATGCATCTTTTGTTTTTGTTGTTTTGTTTTGTTTTGTTTTGTTTTGAGTCAGGGTCTATGTAGTTCAGGCTGGCCTTGAACTTACTGTGTAGCCCAGACTGGCTTCGAACTCTCAGCAATCCTCCTGCCTCAGCCTCCCAAGTGCTAGGATTGCAAGTGTATACCACCACGCCCAGCTGAATGCATCTTTTAAACCTTAGCAACTCTGTCTCTCTCCTCTTCCAATATCCTCAACAACTTCCCATTGCCCATGAGAGATAAACCTGAAGTGTCGGGTTTGTCCTGCTGGACAAGTCTTTCTCACTTGAGGGTCTTATGCCTACCTACAGGTGAGCCTTCCAGCCAGTTGGGGTTCATGGGCCTCTTGGCCTTTGTTTCTACTGTTTCTGGCCCTGGAGACCTAGCTCCTTATAACTACTGTGGAGGGATGGTTAATCACACAGCTAAGAGTTGATCATGGAATTAGTCTGCCTTGTTAGACTCCCATCTCCCCAAATGTGTGTGAACCTTGGACAGGCAGTGTAATTTTTCTGTGCTTTAGTTTCTTTACATATAAAGTGGGAGTATTAGAATCTTCTCATGGGGTTTTGTGAGGTGTAAATAAGATAATAATTACCAATCCCTCAGTACAATCCCTGGCATTTAGTAAGTGCTTAATAAATTTTAGCTATTTTATTTGTATTATTCTCATTATTCCCTAAGGCTCATCCCCAGTACCTTCATTTCTACCATTCCAGGAAGCATTTTTCTCCCTCTCTGAGCTCCCCAGGTCCTGTTAACTTGTTTTAGAAGAATGGAATGATCCTTGAGATTGTCTTAGGCATTTGCTTTTTAGCAGTGTGGCCAGATTTAGGAAACTTGTAGGGACCTTATGGCACAGGACTTAGATAACAAGCTGAGGACTGTGAGCACATAAGACAGGTCTAGGGAGAAGTAACGGAGTCCTTGAGAGAGGCTAGGCCTGCGGCACAGGGATCTAGATTATATGGGACCTGTCCAGTCCCCACGTCTCTCACCCTTCCCCCTGAGCATGAACTGGCTCTTCACTCGGCAGATGTTTACTTGTGCTCATATGCCTGAAGTAGGGCTATGTCCATAGTAAATATTGGGTAAGTGAGCAGTCTGGCTCCAGGGAACTCAGTCTGGCTGAGGAGAGAGAGACCCTTGCAGCTAAGTTAGACTGTGGGGTGGAGTTCAGTACAGGGTGGCCTTGGAGCCCCCAGTGCTGGTCAGGGTTGGAAAAGGTTTCTGAGAGGAACCTGGACCAAGGGGAGTTTGGTAGAGCTTTACGCAGGGAAACAAAAATGATCAGATTTGCTTTTTTAAATGTAAGTTGTTCTAGATGTTGGGGGAATGGGGCAGAGATGGGGAATGGCAGCAGAAAGGCTGTTTGTTCAGGTTACTGGAGTGATCCACAGAAGAAACCCTGAGCCCTAAACTAGTAGTGGTAATGTTGGGAAGAAGTGGAATTTGAGGGTCACTGAGAAGAAATAGTTAAGAATGATGCCTACTATGTGGTTAGAAATTCATGAGGTAGCAGTGGAGGAACAGAGTGAGGAGTTCAGTTGTGGAGTGTGAGGTCTGCCGTGGGACAGTGGGGAAGGAGTAGGTGGGGATGGATGTCTGACATGTGCTCCTGGAATCGAGGGAAGTATGAGCTTGAGGTTCAGATTGGGGGTGCCAGTGTGCTACCCAGCTGTGCATCCTCTTTACAGAATCACCGAGGATTCAACTGTGACCACATTTGAGGCTCTAAAGGCTCGAGTCAGGGAGCTTGAACGGCAGCTATCTCGGGGGGACCGTTACAAATGCCTCATCTGTATGGTGAGTGGGACGGAACCTGGGGCTGCTCTCAATCAGGCTTCACTGCCTCTGGGGGATTGGAGAGGGTCTCTGCACTGTGATCTGGGCTCTTCGGAGGGTGGGCCTGCCTTAGTGACCCGTTTTCTTCCCATCTCCTCTGTAGGACTCGTACTCAATGCCCCTAACGTCGATCCAGTGTTGGCACGTGCACTGCGAGGAGTGCTGGCTGCGGACCCTGGTGAGGTGGTGTGGGGGTCGGGGGGTGGCACAGTCCAGATGGCCGTGTCAGTGCTTGTGTCCGCTTGAAGGAGATACGGAGTGAGGGGCAAGGAAGAATGGGACCAAAGAACAGAGCCAGAGTATTTGCCGCCCCCCCCGCCCCCCCCCAGCTCACTACACTCTCTCCCCGAGTCACAGGTCTGTTAAATTCTCCCTCCCCCCACCCCAGAAAGCTCACTGCACCACATGTATTGGTGAGACCCCGGGTCAGGGGGAGGCCGGTGGTGGGTAAGCAGGACCGAGGCCCCGCCCCTCCCCCTCCCATTACTAAGCTCCTTCTGCTCCTGCCCCTTCTTCGTTCTTCGTTCTTCGCTTGGGAGCAGCCATTAAAATGTCGCCCGGAGACAGCAATAAAAGGCCCGGACATGGGCTCTGTGTCCTGATCAAAGGCCGCGTGTAATCTTGTTAGGGCCGCGGCAGCCACAGCTGGACCCAGCCTTGTTCTCATTACCGGGGCTCCCGCTGTGGGGCTGGCCAGGCGGTTTGATCCTGGCGGCCCCAGCACAGGAGCATGCCTGCCTACTCAGAGGCAGCCCTTGCCTCCCCAGGCTGGCTGACAGCACCAGGAGCCCAGCACACACTAGTGCAGAGGCACAGCTGCAGGCCCCACTGTTGGACATGTCATGTTGTGCTGTGTTGCATTTAACCAGACCTCCTCCCTTCTCCCTGCAGGGAGCCAAGAAGCTCTGCCCTCAGTGTAACACGATCACAGCACCCGGAGACCTACGGAGGATCTACTTGTGAGCCAGCCACCCAGGCAGGCCTTGCCTTGAGCAGCCCTACCTGCCCCCACACTCTGTGTGACAGTGACCCTCTCTCCTTGTACATACTTGCACACAGATTCCCTATGTACATACATGCACATACACTCACACGTGCGTGTGCACGTGCACCTACACAGGACTCTGGAGCCAGAGTGGAGGCTGAGGCCAAGGCCCTGCCTACTGGCTCCCACCAAGCTTAGGGACCAGATGTGTTCCAGCCTCTGTTCCCAGGATGGGGCAGGGAGGTAGGGGCCGGGAGTGGCGGGGCATGACTCCGGAGATCCAGCTCCCAGACCGACAGACAGACAGACAGACATGCAAACACCAGACTGAAGCACATGTAATATAGACTGTGTATGTTTACAATGTTGTGTATAAATGGGACAACTCCTTCGTCCTCTGGCCCTCCCCTTCAGTTGTATGATTTTCTTCTTTTGTTAAGGAATCTGGAAGCAGTGCCTCCCTCGGGGCTGGCTGGGGGCTCGGCCCATCCACCTCTTGGAGTGCCTGCCTCTGCCTCTCCCTCTCCCGTGGCTTCCCTTCCCTCTCCCATGTGCTCAGTGTTCAGTGGTGTATATTTCTTCTCCCAGACGTGGGGCACGTGTCCCAAGGGACATGACCTTCTCTTTAGTCTTAGCTCATGGGGCTCTTTATGAGGAGTTGGATTGGGGCAGGAACTGGGACCTGAGCTAAAGCAGAGGCTGAGGTCTGGGCTGGCTGAGGCTGCTCCTGGATGCCCAGCCTTTTGCCAAGAACCATTCCTGAGAGTGCAGCTGCTGTTCCCAGGGGAAAGTTGTCTCCCTGCCCCTCCTGTGCGCCCCATGGTGTGATGCTGTGTCTGTATATTCTATACAAAGGTACTTGTCCTTTCCCTTTGTAAACTACATTTGACATGGATTAAACCAATGTAAACAGCTGCTGCCTGTGTATATATATTGGGGGAATGGGGGTTGATAGTAGGGGGAATGGACTGAGGCAGATAAGGGGTTAATTCTGGGGAACAGTGTGGAGGGAGGGACTTCACTGTAGGTGTGTGAAGCCACAGAGAGGTGGTCTGCTCAGGGACCCTAGAGCATTCTGGCTGGGATGGGGGTAGGGCCTAGGATATGGGCTCTTGGCTATTGATGGGTAGGGGCTCTAGGTTAATTCCTTATTGATGCAGAATCGTCAGCTCATTAATCATAGAAGAGGTCAGAGCTTGGGGGTACAGAGGGGATACAAGTTCTATCCCCCCACCTAAGGAGCAGCTGTAGGCTTGGGTGAAAACACAAGTTTCGGGTCTCCATTCCTTTCTGGTCCCCTGAAATGTGCCAGGGATCACAATGGATCACCATCAGCCTCCCAGGTTTTTTTTACAGTCGTCCTAATGCCAGCAGCCCAAGGTAGCTAGTGCCTCAGTCCTCCAATGGAAACAAACTCCTGCTATCCACAGTGGACCCCTAAGTTGGGGGCTGCAGCTGGGCCACTAGCACTAGAGATAGAGAGCTTTGCTGGTCATTTCACAGCTCCCCACTGCCAGTGAGGTACATCATCCAGTGGGCCAGGTGCTAAAGCTGCATACCTCAAAAATACATGAGATAATTAGATCCTGCTAAAACTGAAGGGTCCAGGATCCATGACTCCAAACTTCTGAGACACATTCTCAGCCACACCCACCCCAATCTTCCCACATCCCTATCTTTGACACACACCTCCAGGATGCCCATAATGGATACTACCAAAGCCAGTCTAGTTTGCCCCTGCCTGTGCACCCAGAGAGGCATGCAAGACCAACAGTTCATGGCTGGAGCCCAGCAGAGGCCCTGCACAGCCCCATGCCCAATTTGGTGGCACTCACTATCCTGCATGTGGCCTCCTCCGTCATAAAGTTCAGTGATGGCTAAGGGTCTGGGAAACAGGCAGGGGTGGAAGCATGGGAGGACATGAGAGCAGTGGAGATGAAGGGGCTCATAATGCTGTTTGTCAGGCTGAGACTTCTTAGGTCTCTACCATCTCCTCTCTGCCTTGGACTCAGTAGGACCTTGACGGCTGGTTATTCCCATCCTAGGGGCCATATGCACTCTAATAGGGCACATTAACCCAGAGTGAGGGCATTCTCCAGAAGTTCGGCCGGCCCTGCTGTGGGAATCCCCAGGCTTTCTCATGGCATAGGCAGCACTGCCACCTGTTGGCCGTGGCTAGGAATGCAGCCACAGTAGGAGGCATCCCAGAGGGCTGACGCACTGCAGATGGAGCTTGGCCCTGGGGACAGGAAATGGGTCACCTCTGAGAATATCAGGGGTTAGGTCCCACTCAGATTTCTAGCCATCTTCACTGCCTGCCACAGTTTCAAGCCACCCTGACTCCAAGCCTCTTGATCAGTTAAGTTCCAAATATTTATTAAATACCTACTGTGTGCCAGCACTGTACAACATTGACTTGCAGAATGATAGAGTTTATAAGCCACCTCTCCTGCCTGAAGAGTATCAAGGAGATGAAAGTGTTTGTTATTTCAACCAAAAATCCCCTTAATCTGGTTCTGGTCTTAAAGGTGCCAGGTTAACTCATTGTACCTCCCATTATAACACAGCTGCCTTCCTGCTCCCCAGTCCACCTGCCCCTCCTATACAGCTTGCAACTTTCCAGGACCCTGTGGACTCCTAGCTAAGTGTGATGGAGCTGGGCAGCCCCTGAACCCCTGCAGCCTCAGCTCCTCATCTGGCATCTACCTCAGGCTCCAGGGCCAGGAGGTCAGAGGAGCCTCCTCTGAGTGAATAAGCATGTGAAATCCACAGAGACAATGCTTACATAATGGAGGTTTGCCCTTCTGGAGCAGAGACCACAGTTCCTCCCCCTGGCCCCTGGAACCTCACCATAAAGCTGACCTTCCATTCAGGAAATGGAAACTCGAGCCACAGGTGTAAAGTTTCAGTTATGCAAGATGATTAAATTCCTGAGATCTGCTACACAACACTGCACTTATAGTGTGTGCTTTTTTTTTTTTTTTTTTTTAGTACTAGGGATGAAACTCAGAGCCTTTGCACTGAGCTACATCCCCACACCTTATTTGTTTTAAATTTTGAGAGAGTCTCCCTAAGCTGCTAAATTGCTCAAGCTGGGCACGAATTTGCAATCCTCTTGCCTCAGCCTCCCATAGTGCTGAGATTATAGGCATGCACCATGACACCCAGTTTAAACTTGGATTTTTCTTTTTCTTTTTCTTTGGTACCAGGGATCAAACTCAGGACCTTGCACTTGCCAGGCAGGTGGTGGAACCACTGAGCTAAATCCCCAGCCCCTACACTTGGATTTTTAAAACAGTAGATACCATCAAACTCAGGACCTTGCACTTGCCAGGCAGGTGGTGGAACCAGTGAGCTAAATCCCCAGCCCCTACACTTGGATCTTTAAAACAGTAGATACCATGAGTTCTTACCACATTGTTTTTTAAAAAATCAACTCAGATTTATCCTTAACCTTCTCCTAGCTTTGTTAATCTTTTATAGCCTGAAAACCACAGGAATCTGCAGCCTAACCGCTGTACTTTATCCAAATAATGCTGCCATAGAAACCCACACCCAGGCACTCCCGCCCCTAGGATCATAGGTAAGCAGACCACCAGCAGGCCCCCAGGACAGATGTAGATGAGGAAGCTGTGAGGCATTTATTTCTGGAGCAGGACCTCAGGACTGGACACAGCAGTGCATGAAGTCGACACAGAGGCTCGAGTAGTAAGTAGGGTAGTCACGGAGGTGACTGACATGTGCAGATGACACAAAGTCCACAGAACGCACCAGGACTGGGTGGGCCAGGCGTGCCTCCACCATGCGTTCCACGTCCCTGGCCCGGACTACCTCATCGGCCCTAGAGTAGAGATAGAGCTCAGGCCAGAGGGAGTCTGCATCCTGTAGCCTGTCATAGAAGTGGGTATGGAAGAGGGCAGTGAGTGGTACAAGCAGGATGTGGAACAGGACTGCCACCACAGCGAAGGCCACAAGAAGCAACAGGCGCAGCATGGCAGGTCGGTGCTCCAGGATGACTGATAGGGCCCGCAGGGCCCCTACTAGGTTGCTATCACCAGGACCACTGTCAAAGATGGCACCCACCACGTGCAGGTGGCCGAACCGCCCATGGGTCTGCAGGAGCTCGAGCACGTAGCGATACACCATGGCACCAGCGTTGCTGAACACGTGGAAAAGCAGGGGCTCCCTCTCAATCTCATAATCAAAGAGCAGCTCAAGCAGCTTCTGGGCCAACACACGAAGTGAAGGGATACCCAGGGACTCAGAGAAGAAGACCATGTGCCACGGGGCTGTGTATCGGATCACGATGCAACCCTGGGGAGAGGAGAGAGGACTAGTCAGTCCCCAGGGATGCTGTGGGGGAAGGGGGTAGAAGCTAAGTCACAGGGGCCCAACAAGCCCAACTTCCACAGTGCCCACAGAATCCAGCAATGCTTCAGGCCCTGCTTCAACCAGAGGCCAGCCCACTACTCACCAAGACAGGTGCCCTTCCAGAGTGGATACACTCAGGGCCTATTGTTGGGCTGACTGCTTCGTGCTGGCCACGCCCCCTCAGTCTAGAAGGTTTTTGAGGCCTGGACTGGGAACGTGTTTTGGAGACATCTGGACTGAGCAGAAGACTCTTCACGCTGGTTTGCCACACCTGCCCTCCACCCCAGACCTTGCACATGTGAGGCTCGGCTGCTTGGCTGCACCCTGTAGTCAAGTGACTCTCCCCTGCATTGTCACTACCTCCCAGACACCAGCAGGTATCTCCATGAGACCAACACCTGGAGGAGAACCTGTAGAGCCCAGCTTGACTCCCAGAGGCCACTTCTGAGCCAGGGCCACCTCATGTCCACCTTTGGTCACTTCCCAGCCCCCATTCCTTCCCTAGGCACGGAAAGAAGAACCTATACTGTCAAGATTAAGAGGCCAGACCCCCAACTCTCTCTGGTTCCCAAGTCTACAATCACTCTTCACATTCACCTTAGAATTCCAAATATAGTAAATACTGTTGTTTCTCAAATTCTAAAATCTGAGCCCAAACTCTCTTTAGGCTTTGGCATCCTTCACTGCCCAGGCCAAGTGCACCCCAAAACCTTCAGGTGAGTCCCTTTCTAGTTAGAAAAGGAAGAAAAAGCTACCCTGCGTGGATCCTAAGCCCCTCTCCTTACCCTGTTCTAGAGATAAGTACCCTATGTCAGGGGAAATCTGAGCTGGGCAGGCTCTGGGGTCAGACAGGTCTGGCTTTAATTCCTGGCCCTACCACTTATGAACAGTATGGACAAAGAGCAATTTACTTCTTCTTTCTGAATTTGAATATCCATCTATACTTTGGATAACACCCATCCCATAAGGTTATAGTAGAAATTAAATGGAAAAAAATGTATCTCAAGTGACCAAAACAGCACCCAGCACAAAGTAAACTCTCAACCACTAGTAGGGGTGATCAGTGATAGCAGTAACAAGCAGAAAATTATGTGGGCACAGTTCCTGAATGACCCACAGCCCAACACGATGGTCAGCTGAGGCACCTGCCACCGCCCCCTGACTTGCTAGGCCCTGTAGCTCCTGAGACTCTGAAGAAGGGGTGTCACTTAAGGTCACCCACATTCCTAAAGGGTCGAATATGATGGAGGTCTTTCAGTCCCCACTGCACTTTTCTCCAGGCAGCACTTGGGATTACACACTCCTAGAAATACTCCCTTGCAGCCCAGTCTCTTTAGTAAGCCAAAAAAAGAAACTTTTTTAATCATGAGAAAAGGGGCTTAAGGAACAAAAGAACTAGATGCAATGCATAATCCTACCTTGGCTCCTGGTTTGAGCAAATCAGCTATAAAGGACGCTTTGGGGACAATTTGGGCATCTGAACATGGACTGGAAAACTAGATGAGATGAAAATTTATTGTCATGAGACGGCAGAGATCATGATCTGAAAAAAAGCAGGCTCCAAACCAGTACACTCAATAGATCTCCTTTAGGCAAAGAGAAGATACGTACAGGAAGAACCTGGAAGGTGACAACTACCCTAAGGTTTAAGTAGAGGTAAGGTCTGGGTGCGAGAATACAGCATTTTTATTTTCTTTGAAATAATGAAATACTGGAGCTTTGGATTGGATTTTTTTTTTCTGGCCCCCAGCCCACCCTTTCCAGGGGTGATGGCAGCCTCTTCCTTTCCAAGGCTGCCCTCCACCAACCTTGCAAACTCAGCCCCTCTGCCTTCCCTGAGATCTTGCTCCATCCACTTTCTCCCCAACGCCTTCTGCCTGCATCACACCTTCATTCCCTCCCCTGCAATGGCCCATTTCCCAGTCTCTTTCTGTGGATTGTGTCGCATGCTCCTGAGTTTTCCTATGTGTCCCTGGCCATACTTCCTTTCCTCGTAGAATTCTCTTCATCTTCTACTCCTACTTTAAGTGTGGGTTCCTCAGGGCCGTACCAGGCCCGCTTCTTTCCCTTTCCACATCCTCTCGGGATCTCATTTGCCCTAGAACCTGTGGATTTGCTTCAAATGCTCCTGTCTCAAAAACACCCCCTCTAGGGGCCAAGAATGTACCTCAACGGCACAGCGCCCGCCTGGCAAGTGCAAGGCCCTGAGTTCGATTCCTAGTACCCAAAAGAAAAAAAACAAAAAACACCCCCCTCTACCCAGAAAGTGCCCAAGCCAGAAACCAGGCATGACCCTGGACCCCTTGTTCTCCCTGTACCGACTCCAATTCTCTCATTAGCCTACTATTCTACCTCCCAACAATCTCCTCCATCCCCCATCTTCTTCCACCTGTACCACCACCCGAAGGTCCTGACCCCCCTCTGCCTGAGTCACTGCAAGCCCCTCCAAACTTGATTCTGGCTCCCAGCACCCCCAAACTTTCCCCTACTCCACAGTGAGGAGCTTTCCAGATACCAAATACAATATCACACCCCTGTACAAATCCCTCAGTGTCCCCACCCAGGCTCACTCTAAACACACACTTTCTTTCCTTCTCTGTTCTAAGCACACTCAACGATTCCTACTCCTCCTACCCTCAAGGATCTTAGTCTAATGCAGAAGCCAGAAGAACAAGTCCAGCCAGTGGGTGGAATTCAGGAGCTAAAACTATCTGTGGAGTGAGGAAATCTGCAAAAGGCAATGCCATAGAGCTAAACTCAAAACGACATTTCTGCCAGGTACGGTGGCACACAGCTATAATCCCAGCTACTGAGGAAGCTGAAGCAGGAAGACTGAGTTTGAGGTAAGCCTGGGCAAGTTAACAACTTAGTGAGACACTGTCTTAAAATTAAAAAGGGCTAGAGAAGTAGCTCAGTGGTAGATCACTTGCCTACCATGGGTCCAATTCCTAGTACCGCCAAAAAACCCAAAAACCCTCTACTTTTATCCCTCAACCCTTCTCCCATTCCAGGACTTCCACATTCCATGGGGAGAATACAGATGTGGGCCAGTGAAGGGAGGCCAAGGGAGGAGGCATAGGCTGGCCTTTCTCCCAGGTGACTCCCATTCCTCAGCCTGGGACTCCTAGCTGGCACCTGGGGCTAACTACACTGGTGCCCCTGCCGGGGAGATCTGGCCTGAGGAGGGCATGGCAGAGCAGGGCAGAGCAGACCCAGAGGCCAGGGTTATAAAAGGGGCTTTCAAAATAGGCCCTCTGACAGTTTTCCCCAGGTACCAAAACCTGTATATCCAATTCTTGGTACAGCTTAAAAAGAAGATGACTCTTCTACAAGAGGCCATATGACTCTGGGCATGGGAAAGGTGCCCTGGTCAGTCCTGAATCAGAAACTTACCTAGTCAGAAAGGAAGAAAGTCCTGGGAATATGAAACACAGTCAGGAAGGGAGGAAGGGGAAGCAGGTGGTGGGATTAAAGGCCACATTGGGACATAGAGCTGGCAGCAAAGGGAGATAATCCTGCCAAAGTCCCCATAACCCCACAGTCTCCTCAAAGGCTACTCTGGACACCATTCCTAGGGTGCCACAGAGGTCAGCCTTCACTGCAGCTCCTAGGTCAGGCAGTCAGAGGCTCAGAGTTCCCCACAGAGGTGGCAGGGCCCCGGCACACTGGGTGTCCATTGCTAGGAGTACTCACCCTTTTGTGGTAGATGGTGCTGTACTTGGCAAGATTCTTGTCCCTGCAGCCACCCCAGCCCAAGAGAATCACCACAGGCTGTCGAGTCCTCGTCTCCTTCCCACCTTGGCTGGGGTTGTCCTCTGAAACACAGACATGATAGTCAACACGAGAGGTAGGATGGGGGCTCTGGCTGATCCAGAGCAAGCACCATGGTGGCCGGAGACAGAGAACCAAGAGCACTAGGCCCAGGCCTCCCACTGGCTGCTGTGCCCCGGGCTCCCATGGACTCCTGCCTTTGTCCTTCTGCCCCAGCTGCCTTTCTGCAGATCTCAAGAGGCACTGTGGTGACACTGAAAAACCCATATGAGGACACCTTTCCTTGGTGGCACAAAGAGAGTCCAGGAGGGCAAAGTGAGTATCTTCTCCAGGTAACTTCCCCCTCTAACCCAGGGGTCAACGAGGGTTCACCCATGGCTTGCGGGCCCAATGAGGCCCAGTGCCTGTTTCTGTATGGCCTGGGCGCTAAAATGGCTTTTACATTTTAAATAGTTTAAAAAAGAATAATAGTAGTTTTGCAATATATGAAAATCTATAGGAAATTTAAATGTGTGTCCCCACAAATAAAGTTTTATTAGAACACATCCATGCCCATCTACTTTATTTATTGCCTATGGCTACTTTCACACTAAACCAGCAGAGCTGAGTTCAACAGAGACTACATGGCTCATGTAGCCTAAAATATTACTAGCCCTTTACAGAAAAAGTTTATCAGGCCCGGTTCTAATTCCATGAACAGATAGAAGAAGATCTTAAGAGGAGAAATGGACAGGACAGTATAAACAGGGATATGAGACTCTTGACTCAGGCCCATACCAAGCCTCCTGTTCTACCAGAAAACAACATGGCCTACATGTACTGAGGTTTAATCCTCAAACACTAGTAGGCCAGTACTCACTCTGGATGAGAAAAGTGAGGCAGGCTGAGGTTAAGGGGCTTGCCTCTGATCACACAGTTGGGGAATGCAGATGCGCATCTGGCCTAAGCTCTGTAGTCCTTCTGGGGCCCTGTCCACAGCTGGAAGCATGGCTCCTTCAGTGATGTGCAGAGAGGCTCGAGCCCACAGCCTTCACCATGGCTGCTTTTCAAGAGGCCTCCCTGCAATCTTGTAAAACAGATGTCATCTCACTCCCCCAGAAAGTGAATAGCCACCCACTTGGGGACATCTGTGCAAGCGCCGTCTATAGCTAGATTTCTGCTCTTCCCAAAGGGCCACTATGTACCTTTCCAAGGACCAAGCCACTTGGCCATGCTCAGCTGCCACCTTGAAATTTATGTATGCCGGTAGTGACCTGGCAACAGTAAATTTCCAGGCTAGTTACGAGGATGGTAAATATAAATCACTAACCTCTGGACAAAAGGGAGACAACAATTTCCTGTGAAAATTAATGTGATTGAAAAGTTCAATGTTCCTGCTCTCTAGTAGCAGGGACTCTGGCCTTCGGAGATTAACTGCCCGTGCACACGGGGATCCTAGGCCGGTTACAACTCAGCCTGGACCAGGAGCTGCCAGGGCCTCAGTCCCTCACCAATACCTGCCAGCCCTCTAGCTTGTACTCATGCTGGCCTCGTCCTGCATGTAACTTGTTTGTGCCAAATATTCTCACCACCTTACTCACCCTTCATCTCCCTGTCTTCCTCCAAGGCAGCTCTTGGCCTGCCCTCGCCTTTCTGGGGAAGAGGCAATATTGGCCCCAGTGGAGCCCAGCCCAGTCTTGTCCACCATGAAGGTCAGGCTGAATCTGAGGTGCACTGGATTCCTGAGAGCTGCAATCAGAGGCTCTCTCACCTCTCTGTGCAGCTGATAATAGGCTCCCCTCCCCTAGCCAGCAGAAGCCTTCCCAGTGTCCCCCACTGAGATAGCACCAAAGGGCTATGGAATTTCTCAAATACACAGCACGTTGCAAAGGAGTCACATCCATTAGTGGCTGCAGAATGACAAGGCCAGTCCCATGAGCAGAGATGGGGCATTCCCAACCCCAGAGAGTTAAAACAGATTTTACAGCACCTCTAAAGTGGGCTTCCAAAATTCTTTCCAATTTGTAACTCTGCTTTGCACCAGATTTGCCAGGTTTTACTGGCATCCTTGGCAGAAATGACTTTCTACCAGATATCCATCTCCATGAAGACACTGGTATCCTATGCATTCTGTATACTCCCAGGGCCCAGACTTTCCCTACCTAACATTCTTTTTTTTTTTAATTAATTTTATTAGTACATTTTAGGTATAGAATATAATGACATTCATCATTGGAAATTTGCACTGCATAATCTCTCTTGGTTCTTATTTTTTCCCCATTCTCCTGCCCTTCCTTCAACCCCTCCTCTATCCCTCGCTAACAATGGAAACAAAGACTTTGTTTCCATTTTTTCATTTTCTCATATTAATTTCATTCCCTTCTTTCCTTTCCCATACCCCTTTGACTTCCCCTTTGCCCCTTTTCTTCCTATTATACATTATCTATTATACCTTTTAGTCCTTATTTACACTTTCAGTTTCTCACACTAGAGAAACTATTTGGTATTTAAACATGTGTGTCCTATTTATTTCACTTAAGAGTATCGCCTCAATGTGGATCCATTTAGCTATGTCTCTAATTTCTCTTTTTTATGGCTGAGTAGTACTCCATTTTATTAAAAAACCACATTTTATCCAGTCTCCAGTTGATTGGCAATTGGGCTGCTTCCAAGTTGTTTTTTTTTAATAATGGTGATTTTTTTATTTTCCTAATTTCTTCTACATTTATAAATGGAATTCTGTAAAGACGAGCTCCCATTTCTTTTTTTTTTTTTTTGGCTGTTAAAAATTGTGCTGCTATGAACATGGGTGCACATATATCACTGTGGTATGATTCTTTTAATTCTTTGGAGAAGATACCCAG